GACTGAGCAGATAACCTAACTGGTTACCGCAGCTAAGGTTAAGGGCTAGTGCTAGCACTAAAACCAGGACAAAGGCAAATTAAAAAATCTTTATTTTTATATTTTTCATTTTGTAAACAATGTACCTGTCCTTTCCCACCGAACTTTGAAAGCACAAAAAACAGCTTTTATTTGGCCGAAATATAATATTGGCCGTTCCCTCAGGTACATTTCCGTGTTGGGTACAAGCGGTCTTCTGAAGATTTGGCCTTTCGGTGTTTTCATAATTTCCAAAAAAAGTATTTTAAAGTTGTTTTGGCACTCTGGCTTTACAAATTCATTTTTTAAAACAAATTTTATAATTTTTTTAACATTAGGTTGTTCAAATAATTCTGTGCCTTACTCTGAAACTTCTGTATAACGAGTTCTTCTGCATTTTTAAAATTGTTTGTCATACGCGATTTCGTTATAAAGGAGTTTGTTATACAGAAGTTACACTGTATAACAAATATTTTTATGTTTTATAGTAAATATTATCCTTTATACGCTGAAACAAAATCAACTTTGTTTACAAATTCCAATTTTTTACAGTTGATTACCTAAACATATAGATATAATACTAATACAAACCCATATCTATATGTTGTGACGCTTTATTTACACCCACTTTCAAGATAGCGATGACATATTTAATGAAACTTAATCCGATATGATTTCTCACTTTGTCCTAATCCATCTCCACTTCTTTTAAAAAGCCAAAACTTTTAAATTGAAACTTAAATACACTTTAGCTTATTCTTGGCTTATCTAAAGGGTTTGAAGAATTTCAAAAAAAGTTTTAAAATTTTGGGTATTTAAGTGTTTTGAGGCAAAAATAATTGGTTTTTGAGTATTTTATGGTTAAAGAAGTTGTGATACGTAGAAAGAAGGTTTTAAAAAATTACATTTTGTAAAATCTTTTTTATTTTAAAAGTTTGGCACACTAGGCAATAAGTTATCATGGATTTGGCCTAAACTTATTTTATAAATGCTATTTTTTAAAATTAACATATAAGCTTAAGTTCAAACTAGTATGAACAAAAAAAACCAGTACGGTCAAAATTAGACTTGAAAGGGGACCCAGGAGGCCGGACCAAAGCCAATTTGAAAAGGGCCGGGCCGGCAGTTGTGGGTCAAAGGCCGGACTCAAATCGAAGTTCTAGAAACTTAGCTTAGGTCCCGCAACGAGAAATATTACTTGCAAAGAATGCCGAAGCATACCTGTAAGGGGTTAGGTCTGGCTTGGCCGGCATAAGCGGGCCAGCAAGCCGGGAATCAAACCAAGACCCGGCTTTGTTCTCTTACAGGCCTAGTCACAATATATGATTTTTTTTAAATACGCCGCTAACTGGATTATATACGCCTTTGACTGAACTTATTGCTATTTTTACAAAAAAAATTTTTTTTATTTTTAAAGTTAGCCCAAATTTTTTGAGATTTTATAGCCTCCGGGCGGCTTACGGGACTGGGAAACTTAATGGGATGAACAGGTAAAAAGTAGTAATAAAATCTTTATGCACTTTTAGAATGTTTCGAATTATGTTCCAGCCGGTTTTATACGCTCGGTTTTATGAATAAACTTTGAGAGGCTAATGTGCTGGAATCGGATATTGTTATAGGGATGGGATCGGGCGAGATTCGACGGTTGATTCTGAGGATTCTGAAGAATGGGGATGGTGAGGATTCTGAAGAAAGGTGGGGATAGACTTTTGGGTACTGGGCTGGTATTTTCAACATCGGGCGGGGTAATTTTGATTTTTTCGGAAGAGTAAGGGGTGGTTTATCATAGAAAGTAAAAAATGTTAATACAGTAACTTTTTGTGAAACAGTCCTCTTTTTCACAAAAAATGACCTTTAAACTTAACTTTCAAAGGTTATGCAAATCACTACCTAAAAGCGACACCTCGTTTGGCCGTATAATATTTTTTATACGATCCAGCAGCTTTATGACAATACCCCTTCTGAAAATAAATTTATGCGACAGTCGTAACGCGAGCAGACGGTGGTATACCGCCTGTTACTTCACTTTGGCGATAAGACGAGTTGGGCAATCGCCGACTGGCCAAAAACTACTAGCTGGCTTCTAGCGCCCGTTTTTTACGGCACGGAAGGAGGGGGGGGTTACGTTAGTTTTTGCTATAAAGGTGATAAAAAAATTTTGATTAAAAGTTTTTAAAGTTAAAAATTTTATTTTTGACTTATTTTTTTAATTTTCAGTTTTTTAATCTTAATTTGATCTTAGTTATAAACTGTGAGTTTCCAAGGGATCTGAAGCCGGAGTAAGAGCTAAATTTAAAAAAAACCCAAGCCGGAGCCAGAAATTTTGAAATTGAGAATTTTGGTACAAGAAAAGCTAAACTAGGTGGCCTGTTGATTATTATCAGCTCGAAGTAAACCAACCAGGCGTATTTTACATTTTTATAATTACCTAACAACACTTTTTACTGAGCTTTTTGAATTTCTAGTATTTATCAACTAGGATTGCGCGGTGGAGAAGACAGGGAAAAGAAAATCACAAAAAAAAATTAGTTGAATCAATAACTCACTTTTGTGACTCAAACCTTTGATCACCTTGAACAAAACTATGCTCGTATTTTACAAAAAAAAATGTTTTTTAAAGTTTATTTTTTACGTCATTTACTTTCTACACAACTAGCAACCTTCTACGACGATATCACCCTTCTACCCAGCTACATATCAAGCCTATAGCATCTCTCTTACTCGCTATCCAAACTTTTTCAAAATCTTTTTTCAAAACCTCTGCTACCCTCCTCATTCCCTCTTCTCTTTTCATTTGATCAACATTTGGCGGCAGATGAGGCTGACATTTACTTTATCTTACCCAAAAAACTTTATGAGACCTAAAAGGGGGCGGGGCCGAGGGGTATGGCCGCTGATCCCAGCCCTTTCTAATCCGAGTAAAACATTAAGTGGGAGAGGCGCTGCTTTGATGGGCATGTTTTCAAACTTGCAAAACATGCTGGTGCATGATTCATATGTTTTTAAATTTTAGGGGATGATATCAGTTTTTTGTCATTTTTTGAGATTTTAATTGTTTTTAAAGTTTTGGGGGATGATATCAGTTTTTTGTCATTTTTTGAGATTTCAATTGTTTTTAAAGTTTTGGGGGGGGGGATGATATCAGTTTTTTAAAATTTTAATGATTTTCCAGTTTTTTTTTCAATTCTTTATCATGATTTTAATTATTTTTTGTTTGGATAATGTTTTTAAGAATGCTCATGACTCAACACAATCACAAAATGATGTGTGATAGCTGTTAGCTTATACAAAAGTTAGCGACAAACACTGGTTTGAGGTGATACATATATAAAGGCACTATTATCATGACTTTACTATGCTTCACTGATCTCTCTGTTGTCGCGACATATCTACTACTGCTTTTTATAATATTGTGACGTTTTATTTTCTAATACGGTAAAATATCTTCAGTATGATCCTCAAGTGACGTTATTTTTATAATGACAGCTTCTTGTCCGCCATTTATAATAGAACTTCTATCAAAAGGTACCTAAATATTGCGACACCGTGGTTATAAGTACATATTGGACTAGTATTTTCAGTGTGATACTAACTAGGTTTGACCGTATTATGTATAAAAGTTAACTAAGCTGCTCAATGTATATAACACATGTTCCAAAAGCTTCTAGGTTTTTACTTTTAGATAATTACCTTGCAGACTACAGCTAATTATTCAGCTTTTGCTTTTTCTAGTTTTACTTACGATTAGTTACAACATTTGTTGCTTTATTACCTTGATCACAAGCTTTACATTACGTTTCGAGTTTTTTATATATCCATTTCTTAAATTAGGTTTTTGTTAGATCGTTCAAATGATTCCGTGCTCTTTAAATTAAAAAAAATATTTTGGAAAAGAGCTCAGAATTAATTGAACCACTTATTATTGGTCTAAAAACATGAACATTTTTAAATTTATCGCCTGTATTCAGGGCCGGGCGAGGACTGTAGGTCTGGGGACGGGGGTCGAAAAAATCCACAGAGGGACCACGTGAATATGTATTAACGAAAAGTACTACGTTCTACCTTTTTTGAAACTCTTGCTTTATAATAAGCTTATTTTAGTCACCAACCAGCCTTGTTTATAATATATTTATAATTTTTAACAATTTATCTTTGAAGGTAAGACATGACCCAAAATTTATATTTTTGAGTCAAGTCTTATCTTCTTTAGAAAAGACATTTGTATCCCTTTTTGAGTTTTGCATTCACTTAAAAGTTAAAAGTTTGTTACTTTTCACATTAAAACATCAAAAAATGACATTTTTTGTGTTAACCTAAATACGCTTCATCTCTGCCTTTTTCTAATCAAGCATCTTCACTATTTCACTTTGTCATTAACATCCCTAATCTAACTTGTTTATGTTGATGTTTACAACCTTATCACCCCTCCTTCCCTCGACTTCTTCGAACACTAACACACCCATCGTACTGAGAGAGTGTGATCGAATTTCGGCCTCATAAATCATCTTTTTTCTCTCTGTTCACTTGGCCAAACTGCCTATAATGAAACTTTTGGAACAAAAGTTGTCGGACAAAGAAGTCCGTTCATCTTCTATGAGTAATATAAGTAATTGCAGGTTTTGTAAGGGCCTTAGGAATGTCTTAAGGTTGTTAAATTTTTAAACTTTTTAAGTTTTTTATATTGGTTCAACAAATTTGAAAATTAATTGTTAGGTCAAAAAACATGAGGAATTTTGTCGTTAGGTCCAAAAATGTGAAAAAAAATTTATCTTTAGATCAAGACAATCAAAAAAAAACTTATTAATACCAATTTTAAGAACGTATTTTACAATTTGAAAGTAATCAAAATTTAATTTTTCACCCATTTGATCTTTGAAAACTTGATTGTTTTAACTTTATGTTTTGAATTCGCGCCATTTTTTATAAAACAAAAGTATGTTTTTGATCATTTCTCTCTATTTTTAGACCCATAGTAGCCAAAAATGGTGGATAGGAGGAGATTACTCTTCAGTATAGGGTTATGTTGCTTTTTACAGTATGGTAAGTTGCATTTTTTTATTTTTAAATTGCTTTTTAAGCGAAATTGCCATTCCTTTTGAAACAACGACAGAATAAAGAAAATTAGCTTTTTTTGACTGATTAATGAAGAAAACTTCAATATTACTTTAGATTGTGATGTCTTTTTAACATAACTTTATATTCAAGAGACGGATGAATAAAGCTGCTTACTATAGCAGTATAGAAGCAGATATGTTTCATACTGTAGTTTAGTATAAGGTGTTTTAGCTTATGCCAATCCGTGCCTATCAGCCGGCTCATGCACAGATTGTATTAAGGCTGGAAGCGAATGTGCTTGGTGTACCGAGCCGGTAAGTTGACTTTTTTGTGTTACATCTTCTTGAAATTTATATTTTTAGGTAACAAAAAGTAAATTAAAATACAAAATTTTAAATTTGTAACTTAATTTTGTGCTAAAAATTAAATTTTCTTTTAATTTCAACTTATTTTTGGTTTTTTTTTGGTCATTTTTAAGATTTTTTTGCCATTTTTAACCTTTTAAGCCACTTTTAATTACACCCTTCTAAAAACAACAAAATTACGTAATCCTATGACAAATCCCAAAAGAATCACGGCTAAAATAATATCGGATATAAACAAACGCAACTGTTTTAGGCTTTTAACGGATCCAGGTGTAATTCGAGATCCGAACTCTCAAATCACTGCAACTTACGCAACATCTACTCTCCAGTCACCGAGCTTCGCATACCGAAACAACACAATGTGCCGTTAGGAAAGAAACATCAAGATGGACATACCATTACTCAGCTCGAACCGCAGCAAGTTCAGGTCAAGATCAAGCCGGGTAAGAGGTGGCTAAAGTAATATATATTATACATAATAGCTAAAAACACTAAAATTTAATATAAATAGCTCAAACAGGGTTAGGAAAGTAAAATACGCTCTAAATATTCAGGGGAATCATATTTTTTTTGCATATTTATCAAATTTAACGAAATGTAAAAAAGTTATTGGAAAAATGACGAAATGTCACATTTTTTATCAAGTTCAACATTTTTGTAAAAGGTGAACTTTTATACTATTCTAAAGCCAAATCACTCTGATTTAGGTAATAAAAAACTTTTTACCGCTTAAAGCGCACTTACTGCGTCGTATTTTATTGAGGAGCGACGTCTGGCCAACAGGAATTCCTTTGAGGTCAAGAGCGCTTCGAATTAAGGTCAAGGGTCTTTGTTCATCTAGGACAACTTTTTATGGCTTTTAAGCCTATTCTAACAAAAAATTTTTTTTAGGAAGTAACATTTTTTTGAAAAAATTTAAAATTTAATTTTTTTTAACTTTGGAAATTTTAGGAGATTTTGTGGAAGTGCCATTTAAGTATGAACACCGCGGCCGAGTTGGATTGGAAGTCCGTGACTTTCAGCTCATGACTTCGAACATCGAAAACACTGGCGTTAAAGTGGAGTTCTTTATTGAGTGTAATGGGTAAGGACTCTTTCACAAATTTTAAAATTTAAAAGTTTCAATAATTGTTTTTACCAAAATGTATTTTTAAAGTTGAAGCTAGCTGTTGACCGTATTTTACACTAAAAAATGTTTTAAAGAATGAAAACTTTAACATTTCTAAATTTTATATTAAAACAGTACATACCTCTAAATTCATACCGAAAAAGTCGAATTCAAAATTTTAAATTTTTAGGGAAAGAATCAACGCTTTGAGATGCCCAGGAATCGTTGAAGGACAACATATTAATTTCTTTGTCAAGGTTTCACTGACCGATTGTAAAGACATTGCTTTATCAGTGTCTGTATATGGCTATAACACTGTATCAGCCTTGTTTGTCACTCCATTGTGTTCTTGCGAATGTGAGAGCTTCAGATTCCATGTAAGTTCAGCTTTTCAGAGTTTAATCTTGTTTCCATCGAGTTTTGCTTCGCTTTTTCTTTTTCCAATAACGAAATGTCAAAAAGTTGGGACGAAGTGTCAAAACAATTTTTTTTGGGATTTTGTTGTTTTTCCGATATTACTTTAGATTTCTAAATTTCAATAATAATTTTTAGTTTTTTTTGTAATAAATCCGCATTTTAGGAACGTCGCTCAGCCCACTGTCGCCACTCGGGCGACCTCGTTTGCGGAGCCTGTCAATGTGGCTCGGGTCGTGGCGGTCGCTCCTGCGAATGCGACTTGAGTCAACACGGAGTGTCATCGGCGTTGGAACTGGAGAACAAATGTCGAGCGTAAGTGATCCATTAATATTGTTGATGGATTTATGACAAATTCGCGTTTAAAAATGTTTTATTATCCGGAAGGAACAAATTTTAGGTATGAGTGGGGCAAAAGAAAAGAAAATGGCGGGGGAGGGGTGGGATTGGAAGTCGGGAAAGTAAAATTTTATGAAGGCATAGGAAAGGTACTCAGGCTCATTTAAAATTTATTTTAACTTTCTAGTTTTCAAAATTTTGAATTTTTTAAAAATGAAAAAATGCACAGTGCAAATTTGAAAAAAAAATTAAAATTTTTTAAAATTTATTTTAAAATATTAAAATTTAAAGTAATTTTGCTAACTTTCTTATTTTCAGCTCATCAGATGCTTCAGTTTGCTCAGCTGCTGGAAGTTGTGAATGTGGAAGATGTAGATGTAACAACCCAGCTGTAAGTTTACATTCTTCTTACGAATCTTCATAAAAGCTGAAAATATGAAACATTAGGATTTTTTATACCTAATTGCAAAATTTTAAAAAGTTTGGGCTTTTAGTTCAAAAGTTATCGGATTTTTTGCACGGTGCAGTCATTTTAAAATTATTTTCAATTTTTATTTATTAGGTTGTTCAAATAATTATGTGTTTCCTAACGGCTAAAGTTTGTTTTTAGGGGGTTCAGAATTATTTGAACAATCTGATATTTAAATTTTTCAAAATTTTAGCTGAATACATGATTCAAAAAGTCCTGAACTTTGCGAAATTTGTGTAATATTGGCCGTAAAACATGTCCAGATGTATATATCTTGTCGCTCTCTTTACGATTAAACTTTTTGCCATAAATTTTAAACAGATGTTTGTTACACTCGAATTACGAATTCGAAATTTCGAAAAAAATATTTTTTTGTAAAATACGTTTTTTGTTTTCTAAGCTTCTAAATATAAAATAAGTTACATTTATGGTAAAATTTTTATGTATAATACTCATTTTTACGATATCCAATATTAGAAACAATTGCTACATTTACAGTATAGAAGGAGATACTGTAGCTTTAAAAAACTCGATTTATTCAAAAATTTTTTAATGTTAGTAGTAACGATAAGAAGGTATAACATGATTAATTTCAGACGCAAGGAGAATTCTGTGAATGTGATAGTTCATCGTGCCCAGTAGGTGGTAATGGTCAATTATGTTCTGGCCAAGGTGATTGTCTGTGTGGAAAGTGCCAATGTTTGGCCGGCTTCCAAGGCCCAGACTGTTCTTGTAAAGAAGACCCTGAGGCTTGCATGGAAAATGGAGTAAGTGATGCTTTGTTGCATCTTTACCTTATCCTATTCTACCCTACCCTTCCCTACACTATTAAATGTTAATTTTCAGAACATTTGCTCAGGCAATGGTGAATGTGTATGTGGTCGATGTTCGTGTAACTCCGGTTACACTGGCTCTAACTGTGCCATCTCTACCTCAGCTGAAGAGGATCAGCGAGTTGTAGCTGCTGATGATGGACCAGGTCAGATTCTGCCTTCAGCGGATTCAGATGAAGATAGGTCCGAATTCCCACCTCCACAGCCAGAAGCTGAAGCTGTGGGTGGTGCACGGACGTTAGGAGGATCACTGGTACTGTTGGTACTCGGATATTTGGTTACAAGTTTTTAAATTGTAGCGTAGACGAGGGGGTACTGTAGAGATTCTGTAGCGAAATTTAGTACGTAAATAGTATCATACAGTATCGTGCTATGAGAGTACTGTCTTCTGTTTTAAATGATTTTATTTTACTACAGTAAAAGTAGTAATTGTTTTCTACTGTACTAATACTACAGTAACCCTACAGTACTACTCATATGTAGTACTATTTGCCTCTTAGATACTATTTAGTATTTTCGGTTCAAGTTCTTTAATTTAAAAGCCTTTAATAGTACTGTAAACATAGTCACTTACAGTACGACTTGTTGTATTTACTACAAACTATAGTAATATTATACCATTTACTCTATAGCTCTGCCATTTTTGTACTTTTAATTCATTTTTGTACCGCAATAACTTTGTTTCCACCCTTTTTTGATAAATTTTACTACAGTAAGTTTTTCTATAGTTCATTTTACTATACAGTATTATTTGATATACTAATTGATACTATGTACTAGGTTGTATAAAAAGTAATGAGCTATGCTTGGCATAGCGATATTTAGTTCAGTAGCTCATTACTTTGTATACAATTTAAGTATGACGTTCTATACTAATACATACTATATAGTATTGGATGTTTTAGCAACTACTATATAGTATTATTTGCTATGGTAAAACTTACTAAATGTTTTTATTGTACTATGTTTGATTCTCAATTACTCGTGCTCATTTTGTAGTATTGTACTTAAATTTTTATTCTTTATACGATAATATGCTTTAAAGTAATAAATATACCTTACTGATATTATCTATATATTATGAATGACCTCTTTATTCCATAACATCAAACTTCATAGTATGATACACACAAGCACTATACTCATCCTTGGGCGTGCACAACTGACTAATAGTACGTTGTAACGTTCTTTTGTACGATACTGAGCTGTCGTCATGTTCGTATGTCTCACACATTTTGGTACACTTATCCAGTACTCGTGGTACTGGCTGAGCACGATCAACCACATGCACTACTATAGTGAAGACACCTTGTTTTAGGTACTCCCAATACTTCTCTAGCTCTCTGTCACCCTCTTCGTTTGCGTTATTCATTTCTTTTCTGTCTGGAGTACAAATCTTGAACTGAAGGACTTGACGTTGGTTCTGGGTTGAACAACTTGAAGAGGTTTTGCCTTCTGGATTCACAAATTTAGCCACGTTTGAAGAAGCACGGTCGTTTTTGAGCTCTGTAGCTTGCTTGCAGAGGTTACAGAAACGACTAAAATATTTAGATTTTAGTTTTTAAATATGATAACAGTCCTTAAACTTCCCTACTCTGCTCTAAGTCACCCTACCCTATCTTACTTTAGTCACTCCTACCCCACAGTAGAAAATATAAACCTACCAAACATCTTTGCCTTTGTTCATGCTCCTAAGCCTAGCATTTGTACTACTAGGACACCATTCAGTACTAGACGTGATGTTAGTACACACATTGTCAGTCATATCTTGAGGTATCTCACTGATCTTATGACAAGGTAGAGAAGCTGATCCCATTTGCATGAAGGTCTCTATATAAGGGTCTTGTAATGGTTTTGTCAGTTCAAATGACATTTTAACTCGGTAACAGCCTGGAAACCTCAGCTGGGTTTGCTTGTTCGACCGGTCGGTTATCTTGAGTATGTCATGAGTGAGTGATGGTGGGGATGAGAGCTCGGTAAACTCGAATTGGATATTGTCCTTTCGTACTAGATTGGATGGTACTGAAATTGGTAATAAAATATATTAAGGTATGAAAAATATTTTAGTAACTTTACTTTACTGCCTTAGTTTACTATGCGTAGATAGGGTTTTACAACGATATTACAGTAAATATTACTACATATAATATTGCCCAAGATTCCACTTACCATTAGGACAAGCCAATGTGACATTATCCCTCAAAAACACGTTGATATCTTTGCAGTAACCACCCCCTATTACAACAAATAACAACACAGTAACAGCATACATGACCCAACAATGATATAACAATGTTATGACAGCTTAAGACCCTCTTTTATAGTAAGTGAAAGTCCTGTTCAAAGCCAATTACCGTATAATTGAAGCGGAAATAGACGAGAGGTCAGCGTTCGCTAAAAAGTAATTGCCGTTCCCGATTAACCCATATTCTGCAAGTGTACATGATTACATAGTAATATTTAGAATATCTTGCAAAAATGTGGAGTTTTAAATATCATGAGTTAGAAAATAGCAAGAAATAATTGCCCTGAAGAAAAGGAAATTAGATGTGAAAGAGAACCCACCAGGCCCGGTCCAAAGCCGAGCCGGCTGGATGTGCAAACCTGAGAACCAAGCCTACATGAACACCCTAAAAGCCCAACATAGGGGTTTTTACAAGACTACGGTGAGAAATATTCAATTTTTAAAATTTTTTGAAAAAAAATTGTAGCAGGTCAGCCTCCCTCACCACCTTACCTCTCTTACAGCCACGCCATTAACATGCTATTCACCATTTTATGTAAAGTTAGATACCTAAACTTCATAGTTTGTAGAACTTAATAAAATTCAATTTTGACAGAGTATTAAAGTATTATAGTCAGCTTGAGCATAGAAGGTATAAAACACAAAAATGTTAGTTATCTTAGAGTTATATTATAGTTTGAATGAAAATTGATAGATGAACAATGAAATGAGGTCTTGAGTGACTACACCGAAGAGATCAATAGATACAACCATGTTTGAATTTTGATATTCGATATGATTTTACATCATTGATTGTTGGTTGATATAACTAATAGTTGTTTAAATAATTCTGCGCCCCCTTCCAAAGCAAACTTTTGCAATTAGAAAGCACAGAATTATTTGAACAACCCAATAGTAAATAAACTTTAAATTTTTCTTAATAAGTCAAGAAAAACAAATCTAAAAGTGCACAAATCATCTTTAATACTGATAACAATAATATGTCCTATAACAGCTCAATCAACTGAGCTATTATACCATCCTTCTTTGTCCTCATCCCCCTGTTTTCAAAATGACTATTGGCTACATCAGCTGCCAATGTTTTTTGTACTTTTCTTAATATCTAATTTTAAATTCAGCCATTACTCACAATTGGCAAGATGATTTGATTAGCACTGTCATAAAAAGCATAACATCGAATGAAATACAAGATGTTTTTCTTAAGAACGTTACCTAAACAGATTGATAACGTTCCAAAAACATATCAATATATACCTTAAGAGCTTCCTTGTTAATTATAACACGATGTTTAGATTAACTTTGGTAATCATAACAAGATGTTTTACAGATACCTGCATAATTTTTTTTTAGTCATAACAAAATGTTTTACAAGATGGTTATTCATATCAAGATGTTTAGATTGACAAATTGTGTTCAAGGATAATATCATCATGATGCACATCATATCACACATCAGTGTTCACGTTTAAAAGCCTGCACTCAAACAACAAATGACACATTATGCAAATCGGTCCATTTGAGGTTGTTTTAAAAGTCAGTGAAGGTATGATAGCGTGAACTGTTTAGATACGTTTTGCAGTGAGTTGAATTGACTATACGCTATTTGATAACATAGTAGTATACTATCACTTAAAAAAATACTTTTAGTACCAGCTTTAGCTTCAAGTTTTCCTATATTGCCTTACTACCTTACACTAAATCATCATTCTAAGTACTACAACATTTTACTAAGCACGTACTATCAAATACCATATCTTCGTACTAAGTATTAAACATAGTGTTAAAACACTTTAACCCAGAATTACATAATACTAAATCTTGGTACTATGGAGTATTAATTCTAGTAAAAACGTACTATCAATTACCATAACTTTGTACTATATACTACTAAAGCCTAATATTACAAGACCTTAACCCAACCATTACCTGATACTAAGTTTTACTGTACTACTTACTTACTAGTTCAACAATATGGGTGTATTAAACAAGATTAAAGACAGCACTGCCATATTTACCACACCCAAAGAGCCAACCTTCATACAATGTTCAAAGACACCATGGAAGTCGATATACGTTACTGGTGCCATCTCATTCCTGGTTGTCACCCAGTTTGCCATGTTTTTCAGTTCTATGTGGCCTTATCTTCAAACTGTGAGTTTGAATTTTGAAATTTTAAAAGTTTAAAAAACTTGATGAAAAAAGAATGGCGCATAATTTTTTACCTTAAAATGAACAATTTTATACCCTGCTCTATTCTTAAAATCTAATCAATCATATTAACTAAAATCACTTCAGTTAGACCCAGAAATCACCGAGCCCTTCTACGGCTTCATCGTGGGCGCCTACAGTGTTGGAAGCATGGGTACAGCTACATTATTCAGTAAATGGAGTGCCAAAACCAGAACAGTCAAAGAGCCCATTATGGCATGTATGGCATTTATGGCAGTCGGAAACATCATATACCTGTTCGTACCATTGGCACCAGTACCATTAAGGAAATGGACCATGCTGTTTGGACGGTTTATCCTTGGGTTTGGGGATAGTAAGTTGACATTGGCTTGGTACACTACCTAATCACAAAAATAGTGACCCTTTATCATACCTAACCAAAAAACCCCTTCCAGACAGCCTAGCCCTCCTACAAGGCTACACCTCCACCGCCTCCACCCCCAAAGACCGTTCCCGTGCCATAGCCATAATGACTGGCGGCTTATCAGTCGGCTTTGCCCTAGCCCCCGCCCTCCAAATTTGCTTCTCGCCCTTAGGCAATGGCTTCCAACTCCTCGGTAATCTCCGCCTCAACATGTACAGTGCTCCATCGTTGGCCGCTATTGTAGCCTGCGTAGTCGCCTTCATGCTCATGAAGTTGGTGTTCGTCGATGAATATGCTGGAATCTCGTCGAAACACGAAGAAAAGGCTGGGAATCTACCCCCGCCTGATAAGCTCGCCATAGTGTTGTGTTGTCTTGGCAGATACATTCAGTTCTTTACGTTCGTCAATCTAGAAGCCATTGGAGCTGCCTATGTCGAGACTTACTTTGCTCAGACCAAGAAGTTTGTAGTACTGTTCATTTCTGGTTCTCATATCAGTTGTGGTGTGTTGTCAATGTTTGTTTACTCGTGTTATATCTTCTTCAAGTTGGGCAAGAAGTAAGTGCAACACTCTAGTTGAGAAAAAATGAAAAAACTAGTCTAGCAACAGCTTTTTTAAAATACAATTTCAATTTAAAAAAAAACTCGATAAAAGCAACTCTCGCTATAGTCAAGAAAAGGCTGTATACCCTCTAATGTTGCTTATTATGAGAATATGTTGTAGTGTAAAACATCTACATAAAACTGTTTATTTTTCAATTCAAACTTGAATTTTAACGTGAATGTTTCAGAGTAAATGCTCGATTTATGTTGATAATCTCATTCGTTGGCTTCTTCTTGTTCTATTTGATCACTTTTCAATGGCCTTTCCTCGATGATAACATCCAAACATACACCGAGAATGGTACGTCATAACAGGCTATTTATTTTAATTTTAAAAATTTTTAATTTCAAAAAACCAAATTTTTCCCCTCCTCTTCAAACGACCTTCCAGTTTATGCTTCCACCTTTCCTCTCAAGCCCACTCCCCCAGCCCCAAAGCCTTTACAACTTAATTTTTTGTCCAAGGGCTGAGCGAAACTTCCCTGTCTACCACCTTTTACCCATAACTAATCATGCCCTTTAGACCTACACAGTTACCTCGACGGTTGGGTATCAGAAGAGCCATTGGGATGTAACGTGGACAGATACGATTGGTGTACGACAATGACACTCTCGAACAAATGGCTCTACTTTGCCGCTTTCGCTTTGTTCATAGGGTTTGGTTGGCCTAACATTAACGTATGTTTGGGCACCGTATATTCGAATATCATTGGGCCTCGACATCAAGCTTACTATCAAGGTATTTTACAAATGTGCGCTAGTGGAGCGCGGCTTACTGGTCCTATATTTATGAGGTAAGCTGGTTGTATTTTATTGTAGGAACATATGTTATAATATAGTAGAATAGGTTAAGAAATGGTACGGTAGGACAAAGTAAAGTTAATTATTGTAAGGCGTGGTTAACCCAGAACAATTTGGACTACGATACAAAAAGGTATTATTTATATACTTTACTTTACCCTACTGTCCTTTTCAGTTCCTTATACCGTGCGTGGGGCCCTAGATATGTTTGGGGAGTTGAACTGGTCGCATTATCACTCCAAGCTGCCCTATTATGTATATTCTACAAGCGATTAGTACCCTTGGAAACTGAACCAGAAAGAAAACAGACTGATGTATCACAATTAGAAGTTCCTACTGAATAAACCGTATTGTAATAGCCTCCAAGTCTAATATAAGATACCATTAACACCTACAGCCCTTCAACTTAAAATATTTTTGATTTAATATACAAGTAGCCTGTATAAAACAACAATTTTAAGTTCAAAGTTTATGTTTCCCGGTTAAATTTAAAGTTTTTACAGATTTTTCTCCTCTGACACATGTTATTCATCTCATATTCTGTTACCAACCCACTCACTGTTATTGTTTTTCATTTTTTCTTATTATTCATCATTATTTTTATATTTCTCTTATTAAACTTACATTATTTTAAGCAAAATATAAGTGTATTCATACTTTACATCATCTTGTTTCCTCCTTACTTTTTAATCTAAATTATATTAAAATTAAAATGAAATTATAATAAACAATGCCAATTATTGCAATTATATTACCAATTAAATAATGTGGTAATAAACATTGAAATGCATAGCAGTACTAGTAAAAAATATAGGTAATTAAAGACAAGGACTATTGACAATCATTTTACAAATCTTTAGAAAATAAGTTACTTTATTAGCCTGATATTCATTACAAACTGCCCGTAATTAACAGCAACTACCCGTTCACAAAGATTAAAACAAAAAGTATAGTTAGCAAATAAAATTCCAAAGTTCAAAAGCTTTAAAAATTCTTGTAGCAAGTTCCAGAGCAATCGTCTGGCACTTCTCGCTTGTTCAGAGTGTGAACAGCTCCCCATCGTTCATTTATCCACCACAAATCCTTTTTCGGAATCTCCGGGCCAATCAACGGATTCATTTGGTGTAGAAACACAATAAGCCAAAAGGTATAACAACATACGGCGGTTAACATCAACCCTGTTCTTATGAGACCTGTAAAAACAGTGTTATTAAACTTTTTGTTATCAAAACTTTCAAATTATAAAATAATACCCCTGAATAAAACATCATAAACAACTATCAGTTGAAATTCTTTTCTTAACCAAGTCTAATATAACATACCATGCCGTTTGCTCAATGAATATCCAACAAGAAACACAAAAAGCCAAAACAAATTGACAGCAATCACAACGTACCTCATTCTAACCTACAAGTAACAATAGTTTACAAAACAGCAAACATTTACACTATAAACAACACAAAAATACACACTGCACACCAACAACTAAAACAACACAATCAAAACCTCCAAAAATACAAGTAAATTAAGTTTATTATCTTAAATTAAACACCGTATTAGAGCATGTTAACGTGGTCCTTGACTTGACGCTTGGTTAGACGACGGAAGCCTTCTGCCGTGCACACAGCCAACTCAACATTCTCTTCAGTCATCGCAACATCAAAGCTTTCCCGGAGAGTCAACAAAGCTGTGTGGATACCATCGTCAAGTTCAATCGAATCAGTGAAACGTTTCTCGAGGAAAGTCTTGGTGTTTGAGTCGTTCTTGCCCAAAGCAGTGGCTTTCCAAGCAAAATAAGTACCAGAAGGATCACATTGGAACAAAACTGGGCGGTTCTGAACTTTGTCCCATCCAGCGACCAAAAGTGACACTCCGAAGGGTCGGACACCACTAAAATCAAGTTTCAAAATCTCAAAAGAAAAAACAACTTATACAGCCCACTTATAACAAAACAAGCTATATATTGTCTAGCTAGTCAACTATATTGGCCATATTTTGCAGATTCAAACAACAATTTGCCCTCTTTTGTTACCTAAACATCCAAAACAAGACAACTAAAACCATACCCAGATTGAGTATATTCTTGCATCACAACAGCAACCTTGGCAGCCAATTGCAACACTGGAATCTCTTCTCCATAAGCCAATTCGTATTCCATGGCAATTTTACGAGCTTTTCGTACAAGAATTCTGAAACATAACACACTTAATATTATCATTTCCTAAAAATTTTAAAAAACTTGTGCACTTTAATAGTTCACAATTCGGCTATACTAACATAAAACAACATACACAAGACTTTCAGAACATGTTATAGTAAAAATAAAGTGATTCCCATCTATTCGTTTAGGTGTATATAAAACAATTCATCTAAAGACCAAACTTAAAAAAGTGAAAACGTTACCTATAATCTGGTCCCATTCCAGAGTAAACACATCCAATATGCTCGGATATCTTTTCGGTTTTGAATTCATCTTCAGTCAAAATCGAAGACTTGTTTTCAGTGGCCAAAACAACACCATCGTTAGCTAAAAAATCATAAAATAACCTCAATATTAACGCATTTCAATAATAAAAAAACTTTTAAAAGCTTGTTCTAACAGCCATTTAACTGTCAAAAAGCTTTTTCAGTCTATAATCTAGTCAAAAATATGATTTTCTTAACGTTCTAGACCAAAACGTCCAGAACATCCTCAAAGCTTCGTTCACACCTAAACTCCCAATCAAAAACCAATAATCCTTACCTCTAAGCCCAACTGAAGGTTGTCCATTTCTCACAGCACTCAAAGCATACTCAATTTGCATCAATTTACCAGATGGAGAGAAGGTTGTGAGCGAGAATCCATAATGGTCACCCATATTAACAGTAAAAACAAGATACGAGAGCTAAAATCAACAAATATACTATATTCAAAGTTTTCCTAACTACATACAAGTTTAATTTACATAAACTTAACAATTTTAGGCGAGAAAATAACGAGTAAAACAGATTGTCATCAAAAAATATTATTTTTATTTTTAGAGAAAAACTTGACGTGATAAAAAGTGAGTCAGGTTTAGCTTTTTTGTTAGTTTTTAGCGCGAAAACAAAGGAACGGTGGCGTAGCGTTCTTGGAGCCGTTGGTAGATTCGAATATGGACAAAAAAGAATTTTTTATAAATTGTAAGTCGTATTTTATGGTTTTTGTGTTTCTTTGTGCGTTTTTACAAGGTTCTATTAGTTTTTTTGTGTTTTATTTTATTTTTTACGTTTTATCAAGTTTTTCACAATAAAAAATCCTCAATTTTCATATAATATTCTAAAAACGATAGCCAGATCTAGTTTGTAATTCTACATATTTATGTTCTGAAAATGGTTTGTTTATTGATGTTATAATTGACTGTTTTCTCTGATATTATCCTTGACTCTTTGCTCTAACTTTTCCTGACTTCACGTAGTCGGGCCTTAAATCAAAGCTTCGTCAAAACAAATCAGCATTATTAAATTGTCGAGATATTATGTGTTATTACAATGACAACTGTTGCGTTCCGAGATCAAAAGGCTGTGGATTGAACGGCTTCGTCTTGCACCCTTAGGCTATTCATTTTATCGTTTTTTCGTCTTGATTTTGGGCATTTGATGTTTGCAACTTCCGTCTGGTTTTTGCTGTTTTTTTGGCACGAAATTTTTGTTTATTTTTTGCAGGAGGGCGTGGAAATTTTAATTTTTGGGTATGCTAATATAATTTTTTTATTTTTTGAAATTTTTAAGTGTATTCAGTTGCGGTTTAGGTATAAAGGCAAGGGTTAGTTAGTGATGGCTAGTTTTTTGTCTGTAGGACAAAAGGAGGTAAAAATTAAGTCTGACACCAGGGAAGGATTGCGGGTAGGCCGTCTGGTATCAATGTTAACATCCTTTAAGCCTCAAGCAGATTTTAATCTCGAAGTGAAACCTTTCTATTAGCTTCGTTCGCAATATACTAAAACACTACAAATAAACAATGTAATTCGAACAGACCACCGAAACAAAGAGAAAAGGGCAGAAACGTACAAGGTGTTCGTAGAAATTTTGTCAAAACGTGTGAATTCACAAGAGGTTGTGATATGTTATACGAAACTTTTTATGATAATGGTTATTTCGTAGGGGGAATTTCATTTTATTTTAACGCTTTTATTATACCTTTTGAATCTACTTTATGTTTGTATATTTTTGCCGTTTTGAATAGGCAACCCAAGTTTTATGGTTCAAAAAGGTATTCTTTTATGAGATTAAAGTCTAATTGAAGGTTGACGGTCAAAGACTTTCTGAAAATGTTACAAAATGCTTTTAAATTTGATAAAAAGTGACCATAACTTTGCGATATTACACTTTTTTCTCTGTAAAGAAGCAAGTTATACACTTTTTTGTTTACTGATCTTAAATAAACCTCCATTTTTTGAAAACTTTTGGTAGTCCATCCTCTTCCAGTTCTACCCTCTTCTAGCTCCACCCTACCCCATTTCACCACAACCTGCGCATTTAAAATGCAATTTTTTTTCAACCCTAACCCCAACGTTGTGTTGAAATGGTTTAAGAAGTCGAAGAAGGTCATTTTGTTTGACTACACATGCATAACATCTCTCCAGATCCACTTCTTCATCGCGGAACACAAAAGTCCCACTTTTTTTGTTTTTTAAGCGAAAATCCGCGGATTCGTCATGTAGTTATTATAACGATGTCTTTATCTCACCATGTTCTGGTCGTTTCTCCGACGTTTTCGAACGTGTTTGTTTTTTAATTTTAAAATTTTTTGAATTTTGCGGCATTTTTGATGATTTTTTTAGTTAGGGGTGAATATTTTTTGTGGTTGAGGGTATGGTAAAGATAAACCGGGGTATTTTAGGGTAGTTTCCATTGACAAAACAAACCATATGTTATTGAAAAGACCACGTAGATCTATCTATGTCAATGGCTTTCATCGGTGGAACAATAGTTTCGAACAAAAAGAACTTTGGATATATCTGCTTGACATAGTCATCGTAAACATTGCATTCTTCACGTTCGCGGAAAAACGATCTGACATTCTATCCCACCATTTTCGGACTGGTAACGGGGATTTTGTTGATATGTTGTCTACTTGTATATTATATGTTTTGTCAGTTTTTATTTATGATTTTTGATAGTTTGGGGGTATGTGGGGGGGGGGGAAGAACACATGACTAAGTTCCTCGTATTTTACCAATATAATTTGAAACCTGTTAACCTTATCATTTGTTATCAAAAATCTAAAAGTCATCGTATTTAAAAATTAAAGATCATCCTATTCCAGACCATGTGGGAGATACGGCCGTGTCTCTCACTGCTACTGTTCATATCACTAACATTGGCTGAATTCGCTGACTTTGGCACAAAACCAAAAGGAGAGAACCCAACCTTATATAACCCTGAAAACGACCCTATAGTGCAGTTGGATGAGACCACATTCAACGATACCATCTACTGTGTGAATGGTACTGATTGTACGTCTTATATGGTCGAGGTAGGTACTTTCGTGGGTAAAAACTTGGTCAAAAATTAACTAGAAATGCAAAAAATGTCTTTTTTAGATATAAATTAAGGTAAAATTAGGCTTTTTAAAAGCTGTTCTATGTACTTCCAGACCAATTACTTCAATTCTTTTACTTACTTTTTAAATATTAGGTTGTTAAAATAATTTTGCGTCCTCTAACCCCGAAAACTTGCTTTGATAAAGGGCGCAGAATTATTTGAACAACCTAATATTTTTATAAAAAAACTAAATGGCACCCTAATTCATCTTAATATTTCAGTTCTACTCCGACTGGTGTGGCCACTGCCGTGCCTACGCTCCTTTATATAAGAGCTTGGCCAACGATGTGGCAAAATGGAAGAATGTAGTCAGGATTGGAGCCATCAACTGTGCTGACCCATTAAATGAAAACACTTGTAGGGCAAATGGAGTTATGTTCTTCCCTCTTATTAAGGTAAGCCTAGCGTTTATTTGTATATATTAGCTTGTTCAAATAATTGTGAGCCAATCTCAAAACCAAGTTTCAGGGTTAAGGAGCTCAGAATTATTTTAACAACTTAAAAATTGTTTTTATAAACAAAGTAGGGTGTTCTCCCGCTTTAGCAAGACGATAGGATTACTAAAAATAGATTTTGTTACCTATAAACAGAGTTATCTGATAGTAGGCTTGACTAAATAAAACCTCATAAAACCATTCACAAATACCCATGATAATATGAAACATTTTAGTATTTCTCCAGGAACAGTAGCGCGGACATAGACGGCCAAAAGCTCAAAACATATCAAAGTGTGGCACTGATGAGGGACCAACTAACTCAAGCTGTGGTCACTGAAAATGATCAACATAACTATCCAGATTGGCCTAACTTTCAGCCGCTGAAACCGTAGGTTTCTATATTACTTTCTTTTTGTTTTAAAATTTTTGTAAAATAGATAAAATGAGGTTTTGACAGTGACGCTTACCTAAAACAATATATTTTTATGATAAAAATGCCCTTTTTTTATTAAAAATTACACTTGAACCTGCGTTTTTATAATCTTTTTAACCTTTTAACGTAATTTTCTTCCAAATTCTACGCTAAAACACCATTTACCAACAAAAATATTACCTGAACCACGCCTTTTTAACCACACTTTATACTCCAGAATCGCCACATATTCCGAGATCTTCGACGGAGTACCAGAAAAGATAGACAAAAAGGTTCTAGTGTTCGAAGAAGATCCTCAAAGTTTGGTCGGAACTCAACTGATCCTGGACTTACAAGAATATAGCGACAAGATCGCGGTCCAGAAGTGTCGAAAAGGACATCCATTGACAGAAGCTCTTCATATCTCGGACTATCCGACTGTAGCCATCTTCAAACGAGGAGAACATGAACCTATCATGCAGGCTGAGTAGGTTTTTATGATGGATTTAATATTTTTGAGTTTTGGGTAGAATCTTTTATTTTGGGCGAAATGTCAAAAAATTATTGGAAGAGATTGTAGCCAACTTTTTAGTTCTTCAATGTTAAAAGCCTTGAAGGACAAGTTATTTTACACATTTTATTCAATTTTTATAATCAAAGGTGTTAATATTTTAAGTTTTAACGAAGTGTCACAAAGTTATTGGAAAACCAACCCTATATATTTGGATTAAATTTATAACTTTGGCCTACCGTAAGCTTACTCGTCAGGCCAGTAGATTAAAAAACAACATTTTACAACTCATATCTAATTTTATTGTGAAGTTTTAAATTTTTAAAAGTTTTTAAACTTTTGACATTATGACTTTTTCTTATCCACCTGATCAGCCAATCTTAAAATTTCAGACTCCGCCGTTTGTTGTTCAACGAAATCGAGGAGTATCTGGGTAAGGAAGGTCACATTGCTGGCCTCCGGTTCGGGAGTCACCCACACAATCGAACAGCTCAGGTCGCGTCAGACAGCGCCGAGAAACCGGAAGAGGAAGAGCAAACGAACAGCACCGTAAACGAATGCGAACGGAATCCGGACAGGTGAGTCTAATATGGTTCGAAAGTTTTTGAGTTCAACGTTTAGAGATCAAGCTTGATTTTTAACTGTAATTTAAAAACTAAAATCTTCTTAATTTACGTTTTATTTTCAGTTGCAAAGCCAAGTACTATGCCTCGGAATTGGACATGCTCAAGGCGATGCGCTATGCGTTGTTGCGAGAAGTTACCAGGAATGGAGGAGACATTTCTGGCAATAAACTGTCTGCTTTGTACACCTTCACCGACGCTCTGGCTAATGTAAGAGACTTTTTTTTAAATTGTCATCTAAAATTTTATTTTTGGGGTTTTTTCCTGATTTCAAATTTGATTTTAGCGGATTATTGACTGTTCTTACGTCAATTTTTGGCGGTTTTATGTTGATTTTTAAGCATAATAACGAGAAATATTATCATTACGAGTTATTTGTAATAAAACTTTAATTTAATATTAATATACGTTAATTGAACTTTAATTCTAGCACTTCCCCCACAAAACGATAAGTCAGGCCGAGAATGGATCAGATGTGTACTTGGATGCCAGTAGTCGTGCACGAGTTGTCTTCACTCATATGAGGGACTTTATCAAACAGAATGGACTTGAGAACCCATTACCTGCTGATGAATGGAAGGCAGAGTTCGTCAGGGCTGAGGTATGGTTACTTGTTATATTGTAGTAGGTTTAGGGCAATTTTGATATTGAATTTAAGTTTTTTATCTTTGCATATAACCAATAATGAGCAAGTTGATGCAAAAAGAAAGGCTTATTTTTATGTTTTAAAAAATATTTTAGAAATTTCATTTTCAGGAAGACCAAGGCAAGCCCTTCCCCACCAACTCAGACTGGCAACATTGCAAGGGATCATCACCACAATATCGAGGTTACACCTGTGGCTTATGGACAACATTCCATGCCTTAACTGTCCATAATTACAAGAATAAGGGAAGTGAGGAAGGTTACGATCCGAAGGATATTCTGAAGGCGATCCGAGGCTGGGTCGGCAGTTTCTTTGGCTGCGAACATTGTAGACAACACTTTTTGAAAATGACTGGCAAAAACTTCAAAATGGATGATCATGTAGGTAGTTGATTGTTGTGCTAGGGGTGGTATGGTATAGTATGGTAAAGGAGAGTTGGGTGGGGTAGAGTAGGGAAGGTTGGGGTATGGTAGGGTAGAGTAGAGAAGAGTAAAGTAGGTTTTATTCAATATTTTGACAGGATCGCGTCTTATTAGGCCGTTCAAATAATTCTGTGCTTCTTGACCTCGAACATTTGCTTTGAGAGAGGGCACATAATCATTTGAACAACCTCATATAATACTTTTACGATTTCTATAATACACTTATCATTATCATCGTATTCTTCCAGATCCACAAGCCGGAAGATGCCTTCCTTTACCTCTGGCGAGCTCACAATATTGTGAATGCTCGGTTAAAAGGTCGTGACACTGAAGACCCAAAATATCCCAAGGTCCAGTTCCCAGCCTCATTCTTGTGTCCAGAATGTAAAGTAGGTGGAGATCAGGAGAAGGACGAGGAAACGACCAAGCAATACCTACTTAATTATTATAGCAACATCAGACCAGTGGTCGATTAACCACATCAGGTTATTGGTCGATTAGCAACGTTAAGTGGTCGATTAATATTGTAGTAGTTAATGCAGTGCATTAGTGTTTGTGGGTTAGAGTACGTTTTGTTATTAGTCTCTTATCAATCACATTGTTACTGGTGAGTTATCATCACAACTGTCATTCCTAACTTGCCTTTTGTTCGAGATACCAAGTGTAATATATTAGTTTATAGTTGTTGTAAATAAAGATCTTTTTAATTCAAAAAATATGTTTTGCTAGTACCTACTCTACTTTAATATGTCCCATTAACCCTATTCTTCCTTATTTTAGAACTTTGAAATGCTTCTGAAGTTAGAGTACATATATTAATATGTATAATAGGTAACAGAAGAAAGTTTTATTTTTGATCTAATTTTACTAACTTTGAATATATTGATATTATGTTATGTCAGAGAACAAAGTAGATATAGATAGTTCAAGTAAAATTACTGGCTCGTCGATAATTCGTTACCATAATGGGTTGTAAAGCTGAAACTCTACTCGTTTGTGAGGATCGTCGTACCATCAGCCTATGATGATATACCTAAAACAGTAATTCGTATAATACGTAGTGGTATATGGCATAGATTGAAAAATAAACAGAATGTTTTTAAAAATGAAAAAGATAGAAAAATGTCTTTTCTAGTTACTTTTTCACCGATTTTACCTATAGGAGCTTGAAGTCATCTAAAATTAACTAAAAACTCAATTTTTAGGTCAAAAATTTTGTAGAAATGACATTTGTAATAAAATACAGAAAAATATAAAGCTATTCTCGTATTAATACATTAGCAAAAAATTTTTTAATTTTTAAAATTTTTCTGAAAAATAAATAAAGAAACCCTCACCAAATACCCGACCATAACCACAACCATCGTTGCCACAATGGCTCCACCTATGATAACTTGGACACTGTCGTCGTAGTCGGGTTCATGATACATTTTTCAACAAATTTCACGCAAATTCAAACATAATTTCGTTGTTATGCCTCTTATCAGTGTTTGGAGGGAAATTACATGAGTGTTTAATATCGACTTTTTCATTTGTTTTGCATTATATTTTATAAATGCTTTTTTTGTAAATCTATTTTTGACCGCTTGGCTGCCTTTTAAAAATGTTATTCAGAGGCCAGGGGCCGCCTCTATATTTTTTCTTACCCCCTCCCCTCCGAGCTTTAAACATACATTGCTTACAATAAAGTTATACTGTAACAATTTATTAAACTTTTCATACCTCAACAATCATCAAATCGTCGTGGCTCAAAAGTGAGATCAATCCAAACAAAATGGTGGCTTTCGCCGTGGTAATTAGCATTAACACTAACACCGCTCATATAATCAGGCATTAACAGCCCTTTGTCTCTGCATTGGTATACAGTATGGGGCTCGTTTAACTGAAAATTTAAGTTGAAGTTTGAAATTAAAAGTAAAATTTCAATTTGTCGTTTTTGAACTGTAAGCTACTCTACCCTAACTTACCCTATCCTGCCCTACCGTACCCTACCCTACCCTATCAAACCCTACCCTCACCTACCCTACCCAACCCTATACGTTATATAAACCTACCTCAACATAATTGATGACCACAGCTCTCCCGAACTCTGGTATCTTCTTCATTTGAGGTACAGGCCATCGTTCGTGACATACCATAACTTTATTGTTGAATTTACTGTCTTGAACTAAGCCTGCCAATACTAATCCATTCTTGTTTTCCCATGTATAATCTTCCAGTACCATACCCAACGTACGAACAATCTTAGGCTTGTGTACTACTGCCCACTCACAAGCTATGGCAGTCGGAAATGGAATTGCTAAAAAGATATATTAAGCTTACAGTAAGAGAATCGTAAATTACAGCTAAAAATAATATAGTAATTTACCTTCTCCCCTATACTCAATAGCACCAATACTCAACCTAATAAGCCCTAAAACATACCAGAAAACATTATGTCGTTAATACAATTTTTGCTTGATACAATGTCAGCTTCCTTCCTACAGTTCCCAACAGCACCAACTCTGTACATCGACTTCACTCGTACCGTAAATCCAATATACAATCTCCTAACATCCTTCTCGCTCCAATGTCCTCCAAATCTAATGACGATAGGCACCCCATCCCCCAAATCATCTTTAGACTTCACCATGCCACAACAATCATGAGTGTCTCTCCAGGTGATCAAGTAATCAATTGTATGATCAAATTTGACTTCAGTTTTGTGAGAAAATTGCGTTAGATGCATCGGGTAGTTGAGAGGATAATATTCTTCTTTTATTCGGTTGAGTTGAACAGAAAATGATGGAGAAGGTAGATCTCGATGCCATTTTAAAAGGTTGTTGTTATTATTTCTATTTGTAGGTTTGGATTCAACTTCTGAAGGTGCTGTAGATGTACTCTGAACTGAAATTAATCAAATATTTTAGTGTTAATTTTAAAGTCCTACTATAACATCAAGCTGAAGGGAATAAAAAAGAGAATTGGAAGCCAGAAAGATGTAAAAAGCCAGGTCTTGAGTACAATGTAAAAGCCAGGTCTTGAGTACAACTTACCATAGTATCTGTAAAATCATAAAAATCAATATTCGGTCTGTTTGAACTACCAGCACCTTCATCTAATTTTGCCAAAACATTCACCATCTCTTGCATTTGCAGTTTTTTAAGATTTTTGGCTTAAAAAAAGCGCTTCAAACTTCTAAAAATTGTAAAAAAGCTACCTCAACTAAATGGAAATGGAAGCGGTTCAAATTATTGTATTGTCTTTCAAACAATGTAAGTGTTTAGTTAGATCCCTTGAAAGCTTCAAAAAAGTGGTTCTAAACGTAAAAAAGCTTTTTAAAAATCCTTTTGGAAACGATTTTTAGAATCAGAAAGACTTACAGGACTTTAACATAAGTTCTTTACTACCCAGGGCATTATAGTTCCCAACGGTGCATAACCGTTCCCCCAATTATTTATTTTTATATTTTAACATCTTCAATTTAGAAATAAAATTTGAGCGGTGGTGCGTTGGGGAGAGATACATAGTAAAGGGTTAAGGAACAATAGTAAAGCGTTGGGAAATGATAGTAAAGCGTTGGGGAATGATAGTAAAGCGTTGGGGAACGGTAGTAAAGCGTTGGGGAACGATAGTAAAGCGTTGGGGAAAGGTAGTAAAGCGTTGGGAAATGATAGTAAAGCGTTGGGGAATGATAGTAAAGCGTTGGGGAACGGTAGTAAAGCGTTGGGGAATGATAGTAAAGCGTTAGGGGAATGATAGTAAAGCGTTGGGGAATGATAGTAAAGCGTTAGGGGAATGATAGTAAAGCGTTGGGGAACGATAGTAAAGCGTTGGGGAACGATAGTAAAGCGTTGGGGAACGGTAGTAAAACGTTGGGGAACGATAGTAAAGCGTTGGGGAACGGTAGTAAAGCGTTGGGGAATGATAGTAAAGCGTTGGGGAACGATAGTAAAGCGTTGGGGAACGGTAGTAAAGCGTTGGGGAACGATAGTAAAGCGTTGGGGAACGGTAGTAAAGCGTTGGGGAATGATAGTAAAGCGTTGGGGAACGATAGTAAAGCGTTGGGGAACGGTAGTAAAGCGTTGGGGAACGATAGTAAAGCGTTAGGGGAATGATAGTAAAGCGTTGGGGAACGGTAGTAAAGCGTTGGGGAACGATAGTAAAGCGTTGGGGAACGATAGTAAAGCGTTGGGGAACGGTAGTAAAGCGTTGGGGAATGATAGTAAAGCGTTAGGGGAATGATAGTAAAGCGTTGGGGAACGGTAGTAAAGCGTTGGGGAACGATAGTAAAGCGTTGGGGAACGATAGTAAAGCGTTGCGGAACGGTAGTAAAGCGTTTGCGAATAATAGTAAATTAGAATATGTAGTCAATTACCTCGAATACTGTGTTTTATGGCGTAAAGTCCGGTGGCCAAAACCAGGATCCTTGAGCCCATTGTACGCCATCTGTGTCGAGACCGAAAGGTTAGAGTTCGAAAAGTAGGTACCATGACGAGTAGAGCGGGTTCAGCAATCAGTACTTCCGTTTCGACATCTCCACTAAAACAACATATGATAAATATAAACAACTAATTTACCATTTATTTATCGGCCAGTTCAGACTTTTTTTACAACTTCATAATCGACGAACATTGCTGGCACGAACAAGCCGGTGGGAGAAGAGAGTTGTCTATCATGATCTGAATAGCAGTGGTATATGCTTGCTCCTCTTGCACCGTGTTCCATTTTTCGACCATCCAAGACCAAATAGAAAGAATGAAAAGCCATAATGAAAATGAAAAAATATGTGAAGCAAAAATTTGCATAGTTTTATTTATTCTCACCGTGGGGAACGATTATGCCTTTATGAGTGGGGAACGATTCTTCGATTTTGTGGGAACGATTTTGCATGAGCGCCGAAATATTTTATTTTTCCTCCCAATAAGATCATTCCTCACTCTTTTAACTTTTTTGTTTTACATGCGCCCGAAGCTGAAAAAAACAAACAGGACTTTGTTTTTTAAACCATTCCTTTTATCTACATGCCCTATACATTGATCTTTTTATGTTATAATTAAGTTTGGCGGGAAAAATAAATTCAAAAATCGGACCTGACCCAAAAGGCAAAACTCCGGCCATAATTATTGATTATTTCCAAAAAAATTTATACGAAATCAAATATCATTTTTACTAATCATTAATTACTTTTTAAAATATATATATACAAGAGTATACATATTAAAAATAGTTAAATTAGTAAAATTTATCAGAATCAAATACAATATTTGATATCAACGTCTTTTGGCTAAGTCAAAAAATGTTTCAATTCAAATAATATAATGTGTTACAAAATATTAACTGTATAGGTTGTCTAGCTGTTTTTGCCGTATCAATGTAAGTAATGTTATTAACAACTATCGAACTGTCTAGGTTCCATAGTAAGATCAATCCAAGCAAAAAATTGAGTATTGTCATGATAATTGGCATCGTTATAACCACCCATATAGGCGGGCATTAATAATCCTTTGTCTCTGCATTGATACACGGAATGGGGCTCGTCTATCTAAAAATTTTATTTCAAACAATTTTTCGAAGTTTTTTGAAAAAAAGGATACCGAAAACTTAACAAAGTCATGTCGTTTTACCCAAAAAAATAACGAAAAATATAATTTAGCAAAAAATTGGAAATATACACAGTCAAACGTGCAAAAGATGCGTACGCCACTTGAGATTCCAAGGACGTCTCCGATCCAAGTACTAATCAAGCGCACCGTTGCTTAACTTGCCAGATCGGACGGGATGACGTGCGTTCAACGGGCTATGGGCGTACACGACTCCCCCTCTTTCCTTTTCTTTCCCTTTCCTTTTGGGGCTGATTATTGGGTTGAAAGGGGTAAAATAGGGTTAAAAAGGATGCTTTTGGGGTTAAAAATGTCAAAAAATTTGAAAATAAGAAAATACTTTAAAAAAATGGAAGTTCTAAAAAAAATATTTAACTCAACAAATTTTTTTTCCACCGCAGATCCCAACCTACCTCAACATAATTGATGACCACAGTCCGCCCATACTCTGGTACTTTTTTAATTTGTGGAATTGGCCATTTTTCATGACAAACCATTAATTCTTCGTTGAATTCGTAATCTCTGACCAAGCCATTCAATATAGTTCCAGCCTTGTTTTCCAATGACATGTCTTCAGTTACCATGCCCAATGTGCGAGTAATTTTAGGCTTATGGATTACTGCCCATTCGGCCGCAAATCCAGTCGGAGCTGGAATGCCTAAAATGTTATATGAAAAGTTGTATTTGCTATAAGTATTACAGAAATCGTTGCATTGATAAAAGAATAGTAGAATCTGTTACAATAAAAATATAGCTTTTGAATTCGATTTTTAGCTAAAACAATAAATTACCTGAAAACATAATTTTAGAAATGCAGCTTGGACTCGACACAATCTCAGCCTCTTCTCGATTGTTTCCCAAAGCTCCAACTCTGTAGAACGACTTCACACGTACCGTGCATCCAACATACAACGTCCTAACAGCCTTATCACACCAATACCCTCCAAGTCTAATGACAATAGGCACTTTATCATCCAAGTCATCTTCAGACTTAACCATGCCACAACAATCATGAGTATCGTGCCAGTTGATCAAATAATCGATAGGATGATCAAATTTAACTTCAGTTTTGTGAGCAAATTGTTTTAGATGCATTGGATGAACCAGAGGGTAATGCTCTTCCTTTATTTCATTTATCCTAGGGCTGTGTGACGGACTATAAGAATCTCGGTGCCATTTTAATTGTGGAAGGTTCTCTTGATTGTTATTATGATTTTCGACTTCTGAAGGAGCAGCAGATGAGCTTTGAGCCTGAAATAACATTACATTACAAGGAAGATACGTATAATAAGTTGAGGAAAAGACGATATATGAAAGAAACGTATAATAAATTTGCTACAAGACGGCTCATAACTTTTTGAACAACCTAATAATACTCAAAACAAAAAACGTCATTTTAAAACTTAAAATAAATCAATTTTTATTAAAAACACTATAACTTACCATTGAATCAGCAGAACCATTAAATACACGATGTTCTTCCACTGAATCATCAAAATGATCAAATTTACTACGAGCTTCATCATTTCCAGTAGCATTTGCTATTTTTTCTTCAACGATTTTTATATTTTCAAACTTTTCAACCAAAACCTTCGGTTTTTCCCGCATTTCCTTTGATGTTTGCCGCTTGAATAAGTGTTTTAGCATTCTGAAAGTCAAAAAATAAGATATCATTGCAGTTGGATGTAAAGCTGTGTTTTGACCACTGATCAGAGGAAAACACTTGACCAAAAAGTGGAAGAAGACTCGACACGTATTAGTCTTTCAGCGAAAATTACTTATCATTCATAGCGTCGACCATAATAGTGGTAGTCCAACATAAATGCTAGCTTATTATACAATAACTCGTTAAATATCAAACAGTAATTAAAAATACATTAAAACAACTACTACCCATCTACAATAATATAGTTTATTCAAATTCAACAATGACATAACAATTAATTTAACACAACATTGTTCACAAAGTGAACGTCTTGACAGGCTCGAGTTTGGTGTCGACCCAAACGAAGAAGTAAGAGAACTCAAGGACATCTTTGGAGATCATTTCACCGTAGTAATCAGGGAAGAGGAGGAGCTTGTCGCGGCAGGTGAAGATGCAGTGGGGCTCGTTTAACTAAAATAATATTATTTTAATTAAAGTATTTCGTTGACAACATATTATAATATAGTTTAAAATGTAGTCTTCAAAAGTTTTAAAATATGAGTTATTCCCATATATTCTATTTCAAACTCCCACCTACCTCAATATAACTCAAAGCCACGGGGTTCCCGACCGGTGGGACACGAGAATGCCCGGTCAACATCCACTTTTCATGGTTCGCAAATACTCTCTGACTGTACTCCATGTCCTGAAGAGTGGCTTCCAACACTCTGAGACCATATTTGGATGTGCCCGAGTTGTCATTAGTCACCAGACCTAGAGAGCGAGTGATGTTGGGGCGGGAGACAATCGCCCATTCGGCCGCGCAACCTGTAGCTCTTGGTACACCTACAATTTTGAAAAATTACAGTTTTAATGCTTTGTTTTACCGGTCAAAAAATTAAAACAGTCATCCAGTAAAAATGTCATACCATCAAAAACACTACAATAACTACCATACTTACCAGCATAAACCACATTTTTGACGCACAAAGAATTGATATCGATGACTTCACACATTTCCCGAATGTCCAACACGTTGGTCACGTTGTAGTAGGCGGCCACCTTCACCGTGCATCCAACGTACATACTTTTAACGGCAATATTACTCCAAAAACCTCCAAATCTCACCACCAATGGAATGCCGCTTTGGGCGGCAGTTTTGTTCTTCACCATGCCCAAGGCACAATGATGATCAGTAAAAGAGATCAAGTAGTCAATAGGCTCTTCGAAGACAGTAGCTTCACTGTTCGTGAACTGCTTCAGATGCAATGGAGTGTCAATGTCACCGAACAAGTTTTTCCATTGATTCAGAACTGCAAAACCAGTCGGAGATGGCTTCTCGCTGTGCCAAATCAAGCCATCTTCTCTGGCTACAGCGTCTGATTTCGATGATTCATCGTGGAATTTATCATCTGCGTTTAACCCAGCATAAAAGTCGGCGTGCGATACATGGTCAACTTTAGCTTCAGATCTGCATTCTTCTTCAGATTCAGCCTTTGATTCATCATACAATGTGGATTCAGATTCATCGTTATACTTGGATCCCGATTCATCATCAACTTGAGTGCTCGATGTTAAGTCAACTTCAGAATTGGATTCTTTGTTAACACTGGCTTCAGAATCTTTGGACTTGTTCTCCAATACTTCACCAAATTTGGATTCAGATTCCCCGTTAAACTTGGATCCTGATGCTTCAACAACCTGAGTGTTCGATTTTGCATCAACTTCAGAATTTAATTGGCCAACAGACTTGAATGCATCGTTAACATTAACTTCAAAAATCGCTTCGTTGTCCAATTTGGTTTCACCGTCATCTTTGGACTTGTTATCCGATACTTCATCAGATTTGGATTCTGTATCATATTTGAATTCATCGTTCACATTGGCTTTAGAAATCGCTTCATTTTCCAAGTTAGTTTCAGAGCCATTGTTAGACTTGTTCTCCGATACTTCGTCAAATTTTGATTCAACAGCAGATTGAGATTCAAATTTAACCTCAGAAGTGGATTCATTGTCAAATTTGTCATCTGATTTTGCGTCACAGTCCAATTTGATTTCGGACTCATCGTTTAATTCGGATTCTGGTTCCTTATCAAACTTATATTCAAAAATTTGTTCATCGTCAACATTAGATTCTGATCTAGCTTCATCGTCAGCCTTGTCATCTGATTTTTGTTCAACTTCGGACATGGATTCATCATCTACTTTAGATTCGGATCTAGCTTCATCTTCAGTCTCGTTTTCTGACTTTGGTTCAACGTCAGACTTGACTTCATCTTCCATTTTAGATCTAGGTCCGTCACCAACTCCGGATTCTGGTCTTGATGCACCATCAACGTTAGATTCTTCCTCGTTCAACTTAGATTCTGGATTAGAACCTTCAAAGCTGGATTCCAAACTCCTGTCATCATCAACTTCAGAAATCGTTTTAAAAATGCCGTCCGATTCAGAGTCCTCGGTTTTCGACAAATCCTACAAAAAATATTAAATCATAAGTTATTGATTAAAAAATGTTTTTACGCCATTATTTTTGCAACACCAAAAAAAGCCAAAAAGTAACAAAAAACATAAGCCAAACCTACCAACTTGACTTCAGAATCCTCGTTTTCCTTGTCTTTTTCATCAGCAAGACCTTCATCAATGTGATCCAGATTCTCTTTGTCGCATTCTTGGAAGCCTCCACTCGAGTTTTTTGACGCTTCAGATTCCTCACAGTGCGATGAACTTTCAGACGTCGAAGACATGGACGAACGATCGTTTTTCGCCTTTGTCTTCCGGATACCCATAATTTTTGCTAACATTCTGAAAAAGCCCTTTATTTCGAAGCAATATAAACAAAAAAATGCGGAAAACGTGTTTTGAAAAGCAGCCAAAAAAGCTGTTGATTCGTAAAATTTAGATTGAGGAAAGATGAAAACATTCATTTGGTATTCGGAAAATCATTTTCAGAATACCTTTTCACAAATTTTACCATTTCACGACCAATCTTACAAAAAATACATTGTTTCATAAAAATAAAAAAAAATATTAATATTTTTTTAAATTAGTCAAAAAATACGATTTTTGTTAAAAATAGTCTCATAATTTAGGTATATAATTATTATTCATGCAAAGTAACATACTTTACCACAGCCATATTTCACACAATAACGAAAATATAAAGATTAGACGAATGAAAAACTTGGAAAGAAATCTAGTATTATTTTTTGTGAATCAGCACAAATATATTCGTAAACATAAATTACGCAATTAGGAAAGACTAACAGACCCAATGTAATATAAACCCTATATCTTCAAGTGATGCCAAAAACCCACTTAAACATTAATCTCGTCGATATATAACATTTTTACAACGTTACAAAGCCTGCGTTATACTTTATACCTAACAAATGCGTTTTTTTGTAGTCATGAGCCGAGCGAGGCTTGAGTAAGATTAAACGGATTCAATAAATTTTTCGTAGCTAGAATAAATCTTGGCTGACAAAAAATAGCCAAGGCAAAAATGAAAACAGATTGCAATTGCAACAGAATGCCAATAAATAAGAAATAAAATATGCGATATTTCAACAACTTACTATAAATAGTTTCAAAACATACATTTTTACAGATTGATCACCTTAAAATTACTTTAAAAGCTAATTAACAAAAACTCGCCAAACTTTTTGACCAAAATAAAGTTAAAAAAATTTCTAAATCAGAGGAACCTCTTTAGTATGACCGTCTATAGCATGACACCCTCTTTATAACGACAGGCTTCTCACTTTGTAATAGAACTTCTACCAAAAATTACCTGGAAAGCGTGCCACCCTAGTTATAAATAATAGCACCAGTCCCTTGAGTGTTATACTAAATTTTTGACTGTACAAAATATTTAAAAAAATTTTAAAACATAAAACAAACAAAAGCAAATTAATAAACAAAAATTAAACGGAATCAAAAACTAAAACAAAATAAGAATTGTCAAGACTGAACAATTAGATACAGTAATATCCCGACTTAAACTTATCTTTTATTATTAAATTACAAATTTTATAAAACAAACACATTAAAAAATTACAAAGTTAACAAAAATGAGCTGTTGTGTATATACAGTGGCAGATTACGGTAAATAAATAATTAAGGAAAATTTTAAAAGATCATAATATTAGTAATAATGGTAATAATTAATATATCTACTTTTTGACCAAACAAAAATTACAAGCCATTGTAAAACATATAAAAAATAAAAAAGTTAAGAAAGATCAATCGAATACTCTAGACTCCTTCATAGCCAAGTCAACCCAACCAAACACATAAGTTTTATCGACCGGTTGATTCGTGCGAAGATAGTAGTGAATGTAGTCAGGTAGTACAATATGGCGTTGTTGTGAGCGATGAATTATGACCGTTTCATTTATCTACAACAATATTTTATACAAAATCAAATCAGAAAAACCAAAAAATTTAACTTAAAAATCGAAAATTTGAATTTCCCGCCGAAATTTTGTCAAAAAATCGAAATTAAAATTTTTATAAATAAGACATTATAAAGGTCCCATAGCTCATTTTCCAACATATACTTTAAAAATCAGACCATATTTAGCCACACCTCAATCCAGTTGATGATAAGCGGACATGGTGCAATCGGTAAAGCCTTCATTTCTGGTACAGGCCATTTTTCATGACAAGCGACTAGTCGTTCATTGTATTCAAAATCTTGGACAATACCTTCCAGATGCCGTTTCCCCTTCTTTTCGTACGATTGATCTTCTAGTAACATACCAATACTGCGTATAATCTTCGGCTTGTGAACTACTGCCCATTCCAATGCGTATGCTGATGGTCTTGGAGCTCCTGAAGTTAACATGTATAAGGTCAGTTAAGGCGCTATCATAAATTTTATTGACGTTAGGTACTATTTATAGATTGATATTTTAAACCGAAGTAATTTTAAAATTTTTAATTCTTTCAAACTAACTTACCAGCAAACAGAAAGTCTGGTTTTTCACTGGACCCTCTTGGAGATATAGCCATCGTTTCTTTTTCATTAAACCTCTCCTTCAGCTCCAAATAACCTCGTACTCTTACCGTACATCCAACATACATACTCCTAACCGCCTTATTCGACCAATACCCGCCGAATCTTATACATAATGGCACCATATCCGTAGCATCGTCCATTCTCTTCACAAACCCAGTAGCTATACAATTGTCAGTCCATGAGATCAAGTAATCGACCGGTTTTTCAAAATAATAGTGCATTGTACCCGTTCCTTCCATGAAATATAGTGTACAAGTCAGTGGAGCCAATCTTTGTTGATATTCAGTTAGCATGGCGTTGAAGCCGGGCGCTGGACGGTCTTTGTAGTAGTTGAGAGAGTCTGGTTCCCATTCTGGAGCAGTACCGGTTAAACGAGGTCGGAGGACTTGTTTAGCAGGAAACTGAAATAAATATATGAATTACATACAATAAAGAAGTTAAACTCAAAATTATATAGTGAAATCCAAATGTTCCAACATTACATACAGGGCCGGGCGCGAGGGGGGGGACGGGCGGGGTACCCCCCCCAGAAAAAAAAATTTTTGAAAAAAATTGAACGTTGTCCCCCCTGTGAATTTTTGGAAAAAAATTTTTGCAAAAAATCGGCACAGGTAGCTACCTGTGCCGATTTTTTGGACCCCTGCCCCCAGACCAAAAGTCCCCGCCCGGCCCTGATTACATATACTGAAATTCTTATATAAAAACAGATTTAAAATTTTTTTCCAAAACATTATTTTTAGGTATAAAACTCAAAATTACCATTCGTCTTTCCACGTTCCTTTCTCCGAACGACGACTTTCTAATGTTTTGTGATTCGATCGGTTTACTCACTGTCTTACTTGCGCTTCCACTCATTCCAATTCTCTTTTCTTCACTTATTTTAGTTGTTTTTACATTATCAGCGTTCTTTTCATTCACTTTTCGAGGTTCTTCTTTCCCTTTCTTTGTTTCTTCTTCCTTTCCTCCAGATTTCAACCATTCTAGTAGCTTACCACCAGATTGTTCATTGTCCGTACTATAGTCAACAGATTCGTCTTCATCTTCTCCTTCGCATTCAATCGAAACCAGCCCTGGACCGCTACTTATGACACTATAAGATTTGTCACTTGGATTTGAAGCCATAGTTAACCTACTAAAAGGCAATTCTAAGCTGGCAACAAACTTTTTAGCATCTGCGCTTTGTAATGCAATACTCTCATCTTTGTAGATGGAGCTGTTGGCTTCTATTTGATCCTGTATTTCTTCTACCGTCATTTTTACATCTCTAGCATCTTCATCTGAACCGTTACTTTCTTCCACTACGTCCTTAACATATGCTGAACCTCTATCTTCTGCTACATGCTCTTTAACCATTCCAGTAGTTGTAGTTCCCAAACTTTTCAGTTCCTCATCGTTTTCACTAGAAGTCGTGCCCTTCTTTGAGTTACAAGGCTTCGAATCACAGTCAGATTCAGAGTTCATCTTCTTTTTTCGATCTTTTGGTTTATCTTTTTCCAACTTCACTCCTTTCAAGGCTTGTCCAACAGATTTTACAGTTTTTACGATCTTGGACATACCTAATATTCAAAATATTAAATTGAACATATTAAATACGATAGCTATAAAATACGCTTTCAAGTTTAAAAATATCTAGTAAAAGCCGGCCAAAAAGTCGCATAAAATATTTCGAAAAACATAGAAGCTACTATCATTAACAATAAAAAGCGGAAAAAAGTAAAAATTTTGATTTAAAAATTTTTAAAATCAAACCCTCACAATAATTAGAATGAAAAATTTTTACCGATCAATATCTGATCAAAAAAATTGCTTTCAGAATACGACAATGTCCGATGGTTAACATACAAAAAGGCGCCTTTTAATGGCTTGGCTCCGCCATTTTTCATTCAAATCAAAGCTTTCCTTAAACAATAACAAAGTGCGATTAGATAGCTTCCAGAAACACGACTGGTTACTTAATGTGTTCAACATTACAGCAGTAAAATTAACTTTATTCTCAATATATATTTTATTTTAACAATTTTTATTATTGTACAAGTATAAGACGCATGGAAAAATGCATTTTTAAGAAAAACTTAACAATTTTAAAAGTAAAAGTTATTATAGGTAACTTTTTCATGAACAAGTATAATTAAAGCCCAACGATGTTTAAGACCATATAACAACAAAAGAATTATTTTTTGATGCAAAAGATGTGCATATAAGAAAGTAAAGACTGTAAAACTTGTTATTCATGTTAATATGTACAAAGTAATCATTGATATCGTCTAGAAAACTGGAGAGATAAATCTACCCACCCAAACACGTACTCGGTTGTGTCTTTATCCGCTTTAACATATTTTATCATGTACTGAGGCAATGGAATTTGACTTCCATGCTTGTTCGTAAACGAGATATAGGGATCCACAAACTAAAAATTTGAAGTTGTTATTACTAATTCGAAGAACTTTACTTTAATCTTGTACTATTAAAATTTAATAACCTCCCAATTTTTTAAAACTATAATTCGTAAGCTAAAATTGATAAATATCTCACCAATTTTACCTTCAAAACGTTGATAAAAAGATCACAACTTACTTTAACATAGTTCAAGACCACAGCCGTATTGATGGGAGGCAACTTTTTTTCCTTCAAAAAAGGCCACTTCTCGTAGGTTACCGTAATCTCTTCGTTGTACTCGTAATCTCGCACTTTACCACGTAGATACAGAAAGTTTTCACCGTAAGATAAGTCTTCAACTAACAACCCCAAACTTCTGTCAATAACAGGCATATAGGTAACCATCCATTCCAACGCAAATGCCGAAGGTTGTGGTGCTCCTAAAATTTAGATACATACAAATATTAATTTGGCATACCTCCATAGAACATATCCCTGAAGTCACATCCAACTGAAGTAATCGGCATCATTTTGCTCCGCTTCAAAACATGTTTAACTTCAAGATACGATCGTACTGCAACCACGCATCCAACATACATCTTGTTTACAGTATCTGAGCAATGTCCTCCAAATCGTATTATTAAAGGTACTGTTTCCGTTGCATCCTCCTCATTTCTTACCATTTCACAACAACACATACTGTCGCACCATACGATGATATACTCAATAGGACGATCAAACTGAAATGGAGTCTTTCCTGTAAACTGTTTCAAAAACATTGGTGGTACTAATGGGTACATTTCCATGGCCAATTCATCAGCGCCTCCACCTGATGATGGTGCTTCTCGTTGCCATTCTTGTTCATCCATTTCTAGTCTTTGTTTTGACAATGACAACTTCGTTTAATGTACGTGATGTCATACTGTTAAACAAATCCAATGAGAGCAAAGTTTCTACTCCTCTGCAAATTGTCATTTCACCTGAAAATATAGATTAAAATAAAATTCGTAATACATAACATTAGATAAGTGAAACCTCTTTAATATGACGCTCGATAATATGATACTCAATTTACAATGACAGGTTTCTAACCGCACTTTGTAACAAAAACACTATAAACAAGAGCCCTCCTAGTAAACTTTGCCGCCCTTATGCGCGACTGTTTTAAGTGCAAGATATTTGTCCTCAAAGTGACGTTGATCGCCGTAAAAAACGTTTAATAACTTATGATAATGCAAATTTTGCGTTTAAAAGCTTTTTATGCCATAAAGAAAAACACGTACATCTTATAGATATCAATCACAAAAATGTTTTGAAAAATAAAATACTTTTTGTCCACTGATTTGTACTAAAATGCTTTTAAACCAGCATAATATAGATACATATTGTCAAAAACAATTAATGAAAACCATAAGAATTAAAATAAAAATTTATCAAACAAAAAAACAATATATAACATTACTACATAATCTAAAGAAAACCAACACCATGAAAAAATAAATTAAGTAGAATTTTTAAAAGTATATAAAGCAAAAAAAACAAAATACTCAAGTTTCTTTCCGATATAAGAATAAAAAACGCAACATTACACCAAACTCTCGTTAACTCTACAAAAAAGACTGTACCTGAACAGATTATACCACAAATCAAAAGATATGACACAACTACTACTAATATATACATAAAACTACTACTAATGACATGTATAACACTATTACTACTGATATATGTCACTACTACTACTAATAGATATGACGCTACTACCACTGATATGAATAACAATACTACTACTGATATATACGACATTACTCAACATTAATATCTCTATAGTTATGCATTAAAAACAACAAAATTACTGATAAATCCGCGAAGGCTGTAAACAAACATCGACCCAACCCAAAACATATTCACCACGTTGTGGTGCCAAAACTATATAGTCTTCCATGTAACGAGGTAATGGTACGGCGCTTCAAATTTTGCTTGTAAACAGTCCCACGTGATCAGTTATCTATAATAAATAAGGTCCATTATAAGCCCATTATTACAATTGAATTGCTTGAACTCTAAAACTATAAAAATAAATAAGAAATCTTACCTTGACGTAGTTTAATACAACAGCACTGTTTACTTCCGGTAACTTCTTAATGTTTGGCCATTTTTCATACGAAGCTATCAAATCTACATTATACTCGTAATCTCTAACTGAGCCACGTAAAAACATAAAAGGATCTCTGCCGTACGACGAGTCTTCTGTTAACATACCCAAACTTCTCTCGACTTCTGCCAGCTTCACGATCGCCCATTCAGACGCCAATGCTGATGGAAATGGCACTCCTAAAGCGTAAAAATAACATAAAGACGCCATTCTTTTTGCAACAGATTACAAGTTCACCATACGATAGTACCAATCATAATAAGTGCCATTACTTTGCATCAACCTAATAATCATAACAAACAAATCGTAACAAAAAAGTGAACATACCCCCATAAAACAAATCCTTGAATTCAGAACCCAATGAAGCTATCGGAATGACCTTATCATCTCTTCCCTTCACTTCAAGATACGACTTCACCTTGACCACACATCCCATGTATATCTTATGGACAGAGTTCGACCAATGTCCTCCAAATCGCATAAACAATGGCATTGTGTCAGCCATATCCTCAATGTTTCTGACAACTCCACAGCAACATATAGTATCAGACCAAACTATGAGGTACTCAATAGAACGATCAAACCGAAATCGAGTGTTTCCAGTTTGTTGTCGTAAGTACATTGGCGGTACCAATGGGAACATCTTGATGGCTATACGATCTTCGCTAATCTTTGAAATCAATGGGTTTTCTGTGATCCATTCTTTTCCACCTCCTGATACGATAGGTTTGGTTTTGACTATTACGATTTGATCTGATATGGTTGCCATGACAGTGAATGAAGGCAGTAGAAATTTGTACCCGTAAAATACAGTTTATGGCAGTTGTTAAATTGTCATCTTCACCTAAAAACAAATATACAGTAAGTCTGGAAATTAAAGAAGACATACAAAAAGATAAAGATCTTAAACCTCAAAATTACAACAACAATTTGTCTAAATTGCCGTTTATAACATTTTTTGATAAAAAAATAATAAAAACCATCCAGTAAAACAATTCTATAAATTTACGAAGCAACGCTATCACTAATTTAACAAAAATCGTCGTAAATCCAACAAAAAAAAACAAATTTTCTTCAGAATTTTGATAACATAAGAAGTAATCAAATGTCATCAACATCTGGATCCAAACCACACAACGTTAAACCTTTAACATTTATTGAAAAAATCAATTCCATCAACAAAAATATACAACGGTTATCAAAGCGAAAACATTTTTAACTTTTGTACAAATTTTTAAAAACCAAAAACAAAATAGATAAAGTTGAGAAAAATTTGAAAATTTAACTTTAATAGACTTCTTTTACCCACAATAATAAAAAAAATAACTGATCAATTCCTGTCTGAAGTTCATTTGTGTCTTACACCCACCATACACTTTCTCACACACAAACTACCTTGCTTACTTATTAAAAATTACCCATAAACTTTAAGAAGAGCCCTACTTTAACAATGCCAACAATAAAAATATGCTGATAAACAGTAGTAATACCTTACAGAAAGTTTAACAAAACAAGCAAAAGAACTACTACAACATAATATTTCTAACAACAGCTCAAACGCCAAGAACAACTTTAATTCAAAAAGAAATGACCTTTTCTACCCCAAACTACTCAGAAACACCGGATTCAAGAAACTTTGTTACCTAAAGTATTCTAATCCTCAAACGTCCTAGATGGTTCGATTGTCAAGTCCACCCAGCCAAATATGTAAACACTTGATGTAGCATTACTCGTTTTTAGATAATAATGCATATATTCTGGCAACAATATCTTTTGCCAATGGTTAGAGTCGTGCACTATAACTTTTTCTTGAATCTAAAATTAATTAATTCAAAATATTACTTTAATGTGGTGAGCTACGTAAACCATCATATATAACATATCTAATAGTCCATTAAATCTATTTCTCCCCTATTCATCTATTTTAGTAACCCTTACTTTTTATTTTTTAAACTAACCCTTACCTCAATCCAGTTGATAACCACAGCCGAGTCGACTTCTGGCAACTTCTTACATTCAGGAATTGGCCATTTTTCATGCGATACACACAGTTCTTGTTCGTATTCAAAGTCATACACAATACCAGAGAGATTCAGAAAATTACCCTTGGTCATTTGTGACATGTCCTTCTTAAAAAGACCTAAACTTCGAATGATTTTAGGCCGATAAATTACTGCCCATTCAGCTGCGTATCCTGATGGCATTGGTATTCCTGCAAGGATCATTATTATAATCGTTATTAATGACTAAATCACAAGACAGATTAGTCTAAAAACGGCGCTAGGACAAATGCGGTTTTTGGACATTTGCGGATCTGCGGTTTTTAGACACTTGCAGATCTTCGGTTCTTGGACACTTGCGGATTTTGGACATTTGCGGATTTTTTAAAGGTTTTTTTTTATTTTTTAGTTAATTTAGTTGTTTTATGGTACTAAATTGTACTAAAGTTTGAATTGGTACGGTTTTAACATAACAGTACCTCTTTGGGCTTTTAGTACTATTTAGTACCAAAAATATAAAAACAGTACCGATTAAAAATTTAGTACTATTTAAAATTAAGAAATATTAAGACAGTGAACCATTTAAACTTTATTACCATTTAGTACCATACTACAACTAAATTAAATAAAAAATTAAAAAAACCCCTTTAAAAAATCCGCAAATGTCCAAAATCCGCAAGTGTCTAAAAACCGCAGATCCGCAAATGTCCAAAAACCGCATTTGTCCTAGCGCCCTAAAAACACTTTAACATACCCTTAAACAACAAATCTTTGCTGTCTTCTACACTTCCCCTAGGAACCACTGGAAGTGGTTCATCCGTATAAATATCCTCCTTCAACTGTAGGTATGCCTTTACCCTCACCGTACACCCAACGTACATTGATTTACACGCTTTTTCCGACCAGAAACCTCCGAATCGTAGACATAACGGTGGATTTTCAGTAGCATCTTCAAAGTTCTTTACATATCCCAAAGCTGTGCAATTGTCAGTCCAAGCAATGAGGTAATCGACCGGTGGGCAGAGGTAGAAGTGAAACGGCCGGGCCCCTTGAAGCAATTTAATTGGGTTTCTCAATGGATATATCTTGTCTTTGAACTCGTTAAGTGGGGTTGATATGTTGGGAGAGGGCTTGTCGTAGTACCATTTGGGTTCTCTCGCTATTATCGGCTCTACAGGTCGAAGTTTAGGAGCTGATGGGACGGGCGGGTGTATAGGTTTGCGAAAATTCTGAAAAAACAAAACAGATATTACTGATGCAGAAACAATAAAAATTGACAAAAAACGCTTACCCGTAGCCAAGAAGGCACTTCATAACTAAGTATGTCAATATCATTTTCCAATGCCTTCTTATCTACACACTTCTCTTCATATATCTCCGGATTATTATTTTGTGCTCTCAATTTGTATGTGGATTCCCAGCCCGTATCCGCAAAGGCGTCTGCTTGTTGGTACTGTTCCATGCAAAAGTCCAGCATAGCACTTCTTGCTGCGTCCATAACATCTTCGGACATACCTAAACGTAATAATTTTTCTTAAATTTTAATAAATTGCTAAAAATAAACATATAAATCAAGATGACCCCATAAGGTATTATAACGGTTGTTTTAACCTTGAAATAAAAATTTAAAAAACAATTTTAATCTTTTTATTACAGTGGCGTTTAAATACGTTATTTACAATATAGACTTTTCAGATCACAAATAAAATATAAATTAAAAAACATATAAAAACGTTAATAAACAATAAGTAAACAAAACAACATTCATTAACAACCATAAGCTGTAAAACTAATTATATTTAAACAACCTTAACACAAACACAACTTTTAAAAACATATAAAAAGCAAAAAATATGTCGTATTTTAAATATTTAAAGCAATATTAATTTAGATCATATTAAGGTTAATAAAGGCAAAATACCTTTAAAAAAGTCAACTTAGACATGTCGACATACTGACTAAGATAAAACGTAAGCTAAAAACAGTTACTCATAGACCCGAGACGGTTGCATTGTGAGATCAAGCCATCCAAATACAAAACTATGAACTTTAGAATATGTCCTTGAAATGTAGTTGCGCATGTAATCAGGCATTAAAATGTCTTTATCCCTACTATCATGTATCACATGAGGTGTTGTTATCTAAAAAGCAGTAGTTTTAAAAATATCAAACTTATAAACATTTTTTTGTGATAAACAACAGTAAAATAGGCTATATTAACAACCATTTTTAATATAAAAAATGTTTTTATAGCTATAATTATAGCCAATATATTTATTGTAAATGAAGAAACAAAATTTAGAACCTTAAAGAAAACCAAAACATACGTACCTCAACATAGTTGATGACCACAGTTGTATTGACAGGAGGTAGCTCTTTAACCTGATGAATCGGCCACTTTTCTGGTGCAGCAAACAACTCTTGGTTATGTTCGAAATCCCTTACAATTCCTCTTGGAAAATAGAATTCTTTGGAGTACGATTTGTCTTCAATCAACATACCAAGAGATCGTACAATCCTTGGCTTACTAACAACTGCCCATTCACAAGCAAATGCGGTTGGAATTGGGATACCTAAACAAACATACGGTATTCACTTACTAAAGTATAAGTAAGCATTCAAAACTGCTTTTTAAAGATGGCAACCCATGTGTACCGTATAAAACGCCAATAAATCACATTATAGTAAGACCTTACCAATATAGCTTATATCTTTAGTCGCTCCAAGAGGTAACACCGGAGACAAATTCGCGCAATGCAGTTCCTTTAACTCCATATAAGCCTTTACTCTGACCACACATCCCACATACATGCTTTTAACAGCCGCGTCTGTCCAATGTCCCCCGAATCTTACTGTTAATGGTACTGTGGAATTGGCATCATTATTATTAGCTATCATCCCTACACAACATAGCATATCGGACCATGAAATTAGGTAATCAATCGGCTCGTCAAACTTGAATGTCCTTCTTCCCGTAAATTGTCCCAAAAACAAAGATGGTACTACTGGTGCGAATCTCAATCTATATTCATGTGGATAGTAAAAGCTTGGTGAGGCCGTATCGCAATGCCATTTTAAGCCGTCTTCGCCGACTGGGTGAGTTTTCACAATGACAACATCACTTTGTATACTATTATCGTTCGCTTCTATAGCAGTAAAAAACGACTTCGTCATAAGTACAGCTGGAATATATCCTTTACTTCATGCTTTCTTTAAAAAATATTCTAATAAAAAATAGTACAATAACACACCTTATGTTAAAGTACACAATAAAAACTACAAAGTACAATTGCAGGTGTCTACTGACATCAGTACGTTAATTGTCGTCAAAGTAATACAGGTCAAAACCATTGAACAAACCGTAACCAAACACATCAGCGCGGTAAATTTATTGTTTATTTATACATTAGGGTTGTTTAACAACAAAGTTATCAAAAAGTAGTCGTAAAAAATTAGAATTACTTTATACTCCCTGGAATTAAAATATCAAAGTTATAGCTAAACAACAATAAAAACAACGTTACAAGTTAAAATAGGTATATAAACGGCAGTTGGGTCTAAAATTTAATTTGTATGGCCATAAAGGCATAACGTTCAAAAGTGTTTGACTTTTCAATGTCAATAAACCTTCAAATTTCAAGAAACAGTATGTAGACCTTAAATATGATAATTCAGTAAATCCACTAATTCTTTCGCATATTCGATATTCTCATAAACTCAAATATGAAGTAAATAGTAGATTCTTCAAATCGCATTAATTAAGATGCCAAAATCAGTATTTAGTGCGGGTATAAAGCTTAAATTTCTACAGCAAGATACTGGTACCATTACAATGTCAGAGATGTCGTGACAGTTTCAAAAATGTACAGAATTTCAGATTGAGAAGCCTCGTCTTCATTATTCCTCGAAAGTCCTCGATGGTGTTAGACTTAGATCAATCCAAGCAAACACGTAGCTATTTTCTGAAACCGGTGAAGTTGGCATATCATTCTCCATGTAACTAGGCATCAACAACGACCTATCGCGGCCTTTAAACAACACGTGTGGTTGTTTTATCTGAAAATACAAGATTTTACTATAAACCAACATAAAACAACAAAAAACAGTTATAATGCATAAATATTGTTAACCTTTCCAATAACATTACAATACTAAAGCCTCAGATAATCACAAAGCAACAACTTACTTCAACATAGTTTAGTATAACTGGTGCTGGTACCTGCGGTAGCTTTTTAATATCCGGAACTGGCCATTTCTCCATCGCAGCCGGATATACATCTCCATATTCACAATCTTTGACATCTCCCACAAGCAAAGTGCCTTTCGATTCTTGTGTTAGGTCTTTTACCAATGTGCCCAACGTTCTCACAATCCTCGGTTTGTCCACGACAGCCCATTCAATAGCAAAAGCAGACGAAATCGGTATGCCAGCAAACAAGTAAGCTGTATATTCCAAACCGCGAGGAGTTATTCGTCCAGGTGTTAAATACCCTGAGGTTCCCTTCACCTTCATCTTTACGTAACGTCTTACACGTACAGTGCAGCCGATATACATACTGTGGACGGCTTTATCAGTCCAAAATCCACCAAACCGCATTACCAATGGCACGTTTTCTGTAGCGTCAACTTCGTTTCTAACAAATCCACAGCAAGTATGCCTATCTGTCCAAGAAATCAGATAATCGACTGGTTGATCAAACTGGTGACACACAATGTCCGTAAAGTTAGCCAAATGTATAGGTGGTACTAATGGTTTAAACGCATCGTACCATTGCGAAAGTAACTCGTTGCCGGGTGGAGAATGTCTGTCTACATGCCACTTCAAACCATCGTCCTCATTATGTGTTCTTGTATGTACAACAGTCGTAATGATAGGCCTCTGAAGATCATCGTTGAGACTGTTAAAATTCCTGACATCATTGCTAACAACAGCTTTACCAGTTATGATTGTAGACTTCTGAGGAGCTTCAGTAATACTCAAAAGCTTTTTTTCCCTTTTAGAGCTCGAATTCTTTTTCTTCTCCTTCTTCGAACGTTTCTGAGCTTCTGATTGTTGAATCAGAGCCTCTACTTGAGCCTGAAATAAAAAAGTATTTCAAACATTTATATGTTCTTTCATAACTAATATTCACAACTCAAACAAATAAAGAAACTCCCAAACTGTTAAAACCTTTAAGAGTTACCTAAAATTAAAAAAATTAAAATGGCAAAATTTACCTTCAATTTCTCCAAATCATTACTCCGTCTACTTTTGGCCTTCTTCGACTTCTTCTGCTCCTTCTCAGCCTTTTCTTCCCCTTCAGCTTCACTTTCCTCTTCAATTACACCGTCTTCTTCTGCCAAGCTTTTTGCACTAATATTCAACATCTTCATTAATTTTGCGGCATCTTCATCCATTTCTAGAGCCTCAGATGATTCAGAAGATGAAGAAGACAAACTTTCGTCATCTTCACTGTGATCAGCGTCGTACGATACTGAAGGTTCTGAACAAGTGGCCACCGGAGCTTGTGACATATCTTTGTCCGGCTTGGTTTTCTGTTTCTTCTACAAAATTTACAAAAAAAAATTAGGTAATATTTAAAGGAAAATTCTTTAACACATACTTTGAATCATTACTACTTCAATATTACTTTTAAAAACCCCGTTTATGCCCCAAAAATACAAATTACACTAATTTAAACGTACAATACAACCGCATAACGGCCAAAATCTCATTACAAATTAAATTCCATAAACAATTGTATATTTTACACGCCTAGAAACAAACAAAAAACACCAATAAGCTTACATTAAAAAAGAAGTCTTTTAATTCTTTGATTTTCTTCTTCGAAGAGCCCGATGGTTTAGTCTCACTCATTTTTCACACGAAGTTCACCTGCAAATTATCATATCAGATCGATATCTGTTCTAATCAAATGAAACACGTTTGAAAAAGTTGAATACATTACATAATAATGCATTACGCAAAAATCAAAAAAATACACATTTGGTCAAATCAAATAAATAACATCAAGATTACAAGCTAGACACAAATATTTAATGTCTAAAACAATTAAAACAAATCTAAAACAATTTAACAGTGAAGTGTTATCGACAAATAATTTTTCCAACCAAGAAAAACCTTAAAACCAGAATCACCTAAACAACAAGAAAATGTCTAAAAGCCTCGAAAAAGAAGCAAAATCATATTTATGGATAACGCTTTCCGCTTAAAAAATTCTTCTTCGCAAAAATAATATCAAATCAATGGCAGAACAACACATGTTTCTTCTATTTACGAATTATAACTATTTAGAATTATTCAAAAAGTTAAAAAGTAAAAGACAAAGCGTGAGGCAAACTTTAAAACATCTAAAATATTAGTTAAAAGCAAAATTTAACTTTAAACCCATAAAAACTATTTTCCTTTGTGAAAGTAAAGATAAAACGTCAAATAAAGTTATGTTAACAATCAAATAAACTAATTTTTGTAAAAAAACCAAGGAAAACGTAAATTTCCAACGGAAAAACAATAAAAACATATTCGCAAACAATAATCCAGAAAATGCGTCAGTTGCGATTGATTTTCCGGAAAATGTGTCATGAAAACAATTTCTCGTTGAACAACACTTTGTTATTAAAGTTTTGTCTATACTTAAAATAATATTATGCATTACGTAAGGCCAATAAAACGCAAAATATGTTATTTTTTGCGTTTTAAAAATAAAGCGCCGCTAAAATGAAGAATAATATAGGTATCACGAGAAGAAAATGGCTGGCAAAGGCGCAAAAGGGCCAATTCTCTTTCGTGATAATAAGTTGCGATTTCTATTGTTGAACAATATCATTTGTCCGACTAGCCAGCTGAATATTAGTGCGGCTAATAAACGTACAGCTTAATAATATCAAATTTCTAAGCTGAAGTTGGCTATAGCGCATTTGTCTGCATAAACCTTCTTCAACCCCCTTGACCGAGCGTTCATCGTCTCTTCTTTATTATGATTTCTTGTCTTTTCCGCTTTAGAAATAGGCAATAAAACGATAGCTTGAAAACGTAAGGTTATCATAACATATTTGAATCTGGCGCCAAAACAGTGGCTAATACGGCTAGAAACACGTTTTTAAAATTTGTTGTAAAGTTTATCACAAAAATAACAATAACTATGAACAATACAATAATATACAGAAATACCCGTGGTGGTTTTTTGTTGAGATTAAACTTGGAATTTAAATGCTGACGGCTGTGTTACAAACCTGAAATGGCAATTTTAGTAAAATATTATTTTAACTCTTCGTTTCGACAGAAATAGTCGGTATGTTAACCAAAAAAACCGTTAAAAATGTGTGTTCGAGGTGTAAACATACGGTTTTATAGTCAGTAGTAGGTAGGTAATCTGAAGATCTCTCCATAAAACTATTAAATTCACATCCTCTACCTTCTTGCATTTTGCAATTGGAGATTTTGGGTGTTACATCAAAGATGTCAGTCGCGTTTCGGCGGTAGATTACCTGAAAAATGTATAATGTTAGTAGAGGATTTTAAGATATGGTGTTGCTCTATATAGTAAACAGTGAAAAGTAGTTGGATTTGAAAGCAATGGTGCATTTTATAATCGCTGTAAGCAGTGCCGTGTGGGGACTTTTGGTCTGAGGCGGGGGACGAAAAAATCGGCACAGGCAGGGGGGGGGGTTCCCCCCCCTGCCCCCCCAGCGCCCGGCCTTGGCTGTAAGGATAAAAACGTTCTCAAGACTACAAAACGTGATCTACAGTAAAAACCTTACCTTGACGTAGTAGGAATCGTCTTGAGCGTTCTGCCACAACTCCAAGAACATAGACGAACATAGGTCGGGCAAGTTCATTCTGTCATAATCCATTAACTCGAACCCGAAAGTTGACATGACAGCAGCCAATGTGACCTCATGAGCTGACTGTGCATAGTACTTGATGTTGTCAATGCACTTCTCATCACTGGATAGCTGATTACACTCAATTTTGACTTGCATTTCTCTGATTATCCTATCCAAAAGGGTTCCACCCCAAACTTTGCGCAGTTCTAGACTTAGGTCGAGGTCGTTCAGTTGGTCGAGATTGTAGCCGAATGTGAGCATGGTGAAGTTATTGTAGACTTGATCGATTTCGTCGTATAATTCGTCGAGTTTTGGGTTGATCTCGAGGTTGTGTAACTTTTCTAGGTACATGGGGTCCCAAATGTGAGGAATCTTTTCTGTGTCCATCTGAGCGTAGCCAGTTAGGTGGAGCAGCTTGTGGTAGAGATCCTGGAATACTTGAATTTGAAGGGGAGTTTTTAAATTTTTACTTTAGTATAACGTTTTGATAGGTTTGACTAGAATTAAATGGCCATTTACGGACTAAGAAAGATCCGAACCAACTTAATATCGTATAAACCTAAACACAATATCCTTACCTGATGTTGAGTTTCGATAAGAGCATATTCTGGGGTGGCTTTGATCAATTCCCTCAAACTGATCAGCCTTTGACAACTTGAAGTAGGCAAAGCAGCGTAGTCCTCGGCCATTGGTACAACATCGATTGGGTATTCAACAGTTGGGGCTCCATACATACCAAAAAGATTGGCATGGGCGCTTTTAATTGTTCTGTTTACTTGGGTTGATCTTACCTATAAATTTATTATTATCTTGATGTTTTTGAGTTTTTTGAGGATTCGGTAAAGATATAGGTATAGGTAGTAGCGTTTTTAAATCATTTTTCAAAAGAGTCGAAGTGAAAATTAAAAAAAAATTAAACTTGCTGATTAAGATGGGTATATCGAGCACCTCTCCGACTTACCCTCAAGATATCGCCTTGAAATTGATCTGGCAAGAACTTAAAATGCTCGACGTATCTTCTTCTTATCCATTGCCCTAAAGCATTTTGTTGTTCAACCCCTAATGGTGTCAAGAATCCTATTGGAGCTGGCCAATCAGCTTCAAGATTCAAGCTGGTAGGGTAAATGAATAAGGGGGATCGGTCGCCATGCCTCCATATGGCTTCGACAAGTACCAGCTTGTCATCCGGATGACCATCTGGACCTAGACCTCGTTCTTCTGCTGGTGGTGCTATTGGCAATGATAAGATGAGTGTAGTGGATAACACGGTGGTAATGGTCAGTAACCCGGTTCGAGGCATGCTGAGGTCTAGGACTGAAAGTTAGGGATGTTATTGGGTGAGGTAAATAATAAAGCATTTTTTGTTGCGGCACGGACACGATCACGCCATTACTTTCACATCAACTACAGAATATGCTATTCATTTTGAAGAAAACTGAAAACTTGCCACCTACTACAACATTATCTATATCCTCTTTGTATCAAAAGACTAAAATACCCCTCCCTTTTATAAATTTAAAAATGACCAGTTTAACATTAAATCGAAGTTCCAGGGGGTGGGCTGTTGTTTTTTGACGTCACAGTCTTTGATTAAGCACTCACCACGTCTAAAACAAGGAAACGTGATTGTCTCTTACTGTAACATTGGGAAGGTTGAAGTAGTTAGCAGACGGACCTAAATTAGTTTAATATGTGGACATCATAACACTTCCCGGAAACAAGGTTATTATGACAAATATTATTGTACATGTAGTGAAATATAAAAGGTTAAACAAAAGTTTTGTAATTACGGTCAAAGATAAGTTGATGCAAAAAGAATGGCGCGTTTAAAGAAAAACTATTTTTCATTTAAAAAATTGCAAAAAAGTCTGTCTACAATTAAAAATAGCTAAAATTTAAAACGAAAAATGGTTTAAACTTTATTTGATTGACAAAGTTATGGCGTTGTAAATACGAAGAACGTCTGTTACATAAAGACGGATGATGTATGGAGGATTCCGACGAATTAAGCGCTTTTTTCATCGACACATGTGCAAGTGTCAATTATTGAAAAAATGACTGGAAATGACGTTGTTTTCGAAATGACAATTGATAGTTTCGACAAACTTTGGTTCATACTAAAAGTATTTGATAGTTGAAGCGAAAAGAATGGCGCTTTTTAAAGGTGATGCAAAAAGAATGGCGCATTTGATAGTTGATTGGAAAACAATGGCGTGTATTATACTTGATGCGAAAATAATGGCACATTTTATATTTGATCGGAAAAGAATGGTGCATTTTATGGTTGTTGCAAAGAGAATGGCGCATTAACATTAAACTCAATTTTGTCTATATTTTAAAATTTTACCATTACTGAACATACCGTTAAGTCAAAAAGTTTATAAAATAATAAACATTGAACCTTTTTCTAACTTTTCTATTTACTTTTTGACCAACCTGCTATTAAGCAAAATCCACGTTGTTTGAACAAAATTTATGTTAACCATAAACGGAACTTCCCGAATCGAACGTACATTATAAATTTGATCGCATACTTTGTCCTAATTGACATTATATACGTTTTCTGCCTTTCGTAAACAATATAAACATGTCTGATAAACAAAACGAATTTTTGAGAAATCAGAGAGATCGCCCTTTTAGCAACGATTTGTATCAATCAGCTGGGTGTTCGATCGGCTGGGTGTGGGAGCAAGAACTATTATATTAATTTTAGGTCTATTCGATTTAAGTCCAAAAATAAGTGAATTTAAGATATGATAGTGGGTCAAAAAGTGTGTAGAAAGTATTTATGGGTAGATGTGGTGGCATATTAGCCTTATCCAAGGCCGGAAAAGAATAGTCTTGGGGATACAAGGCCGGAGTGGGTAGTCTAGGGCTCTTCAGGTCAGGGAGATTGGGAGAGTAATCACCGAAAAAAACCCGTTTTTGATTTTTTACCCTTCCCAAACCTAAATTACTGCAAATATACCGTCTTACAAATAAAAAACTTTTTTAATTGGTCTCAAATTGAAACCAATCAATTTTAACATTGCAAGAGATATGATCGTTTAAACAGTCAAAATTAACATTTTAGAGACGATGATCAAGCTCAAAAAGAAATTGTTACAATAAATTTAACCTTTGTTTTTGTTTACAAACAAAAAGTTTACTAAATATTAATTGATAATTTAGTGGAAATTAACGAATTTGATCAAAGTTGGTTTTATTGGGTCTCGGGATTACAAAGAACTGAAGAATGACCGTCACAAGAGAATGATTTTTATAACTTTTACTGTATGAAAATAAAAAACGGTAAGGGGCTGAGTAAAGGTAGAAAAACAAAAACTAAAGTATTTTCTTGTTGGGTCATTTTGGCTTGCAAGCAGAGGATCTACAAGTAGAACTAGAGCTCTATGCTTACAACACCAGAAGGTCTGTGTTTATATACTTACATTTATAAGGTTAAAAAACACTTCAAAATAAGGTCATAACTAAAAGATAAGTCGATGGAACACTAGAAATAGACCTCAAGTTTGTATGTAAATAGTATTGTAGTAATTAATCACTCTGATTTTGTATTGAGGAAGTTAACTGACAATTAGTAAGTACAAAATGAAAAACAACATCAATGTACTACAAGTATATTCACTTGCGAGAACAATACTTGTGAGTACAATAGTTGCAAATACAATAGTTGCGAGTAATGTTTTTAAAATACAGTACAAAATCGTCATAAAAATTTAAAAATCCCTTATTTTACATTTAAAATCATACTTGGTAACATTAAAACTGAAACAATACAAAACTAAAAAAGATTTTACCAGCGTTCTGAACCCATTCTTTACCCTAAACCGACAATCGCCTACCATACTTCCAAATTCTTGAAATTCATTTTTGTTTTTACATTGCAATTCGTAGAAATAACAAAAAAAACGTTGATTTCTGCAAAATAATTGCTCAAACTTTTGACAAATTATTGAATGACTTTTTTGATGCGTAAAAAGTAACTGTAGAGGGAAGATTCCGCGATACGATTAATAAGCCCGTTCTGTTTGCGTAGGCTGTACGATAATATTTCGTATGTGATTAACTGTGCACATTTTGCAAAATGATATGTTGGGCGACTGAGCTTTATTGTTCTTGGTGATCTGGGTTTTGTAGCAAAATTAAAAAAAAACAAAATTATTTAAAAAACAAAAAATTTTAAACGTTTTAAAAATACGAAAAATATTTTATTTTTAATCTTTTTAAACAATCTTTAATCTAAAAATGCAGATTTATGAGCGATAATAAATTCATTGAGTCAAAATTAATGGCTATATTATAATCAGTTAGCAAATTATGCGAATTTATATTATTCAAACTACACATAGTATTCCCAATCACAATTTACTATAAAATTTTAAATTTTAATTAAACCCCCCCCTGAAATACTAAAAAACGAAGATTACATAGCCATACACTCGTTTGTAAAACAATAGAAACAAGAAAAGAGGGCGCTGCCGTGAGTGGTTGGATAGCGCAGTGGTTGTGCGTTCGCTTTTGATTCCGAATCGCGTGGGTTCGAGTCAAAGTCCGTGAGGAATAACTTCCAGTTCTGCTACTGAATGTTAGTGCTGATTTCCGGATTCTGAGGCTGTTTTTTAGCTATTTTTGCCGTTTGAATATATCAATAATTTATTCCTCTATAATATAAAAGTATCTTTAAAGGTGAAAATGTAAAAATAAGAGTAATAATTCAACAAAAATGTGAGAGAAGTTACCAATTTAAAATTTTTATAGTAAAAAAGTTTACAAAATGAAATAAATAACCTAATCCTATATAATGTCTTGGCTGAAACTGACTAGGAACCTAATTTTGAGCCAATGTGAATAAGTTAAAAATAATAAATATTAAAAATTATTTCTTAGCCATGTCATGTCGAACTTGTTCTACTATATGTTGCCAGTCAATCTCGTAATCAGCATAATGTTTCAAAAAGTTTCTATCATTTTCTTTTCTTCCAGTTTCTTCCAAATAACGCTTACGGTAGCCGAGTACAGTATCTACATGCATTTTGTGTTTTAATGCCAGTTCTAAAGCTCTGAAATTTCAAAAAATAATTTATAATACTATTTTAAATTGTCAAATCTTGAAAAACTCGTACCGTTCAAACCTGAACATGCTCAAGTTCAACATGATAGCTCTAAAATTGTCTCCAGATTGAATTAAGGAAGCTTCGGCATCTCTGGTATTGCCATTGAACAAAGCCATCGAAGCTGTTCTTCTTTCTTTCTTCGTTTCATCGCTGATCTCACCAAGATAGTATACCTTCTCAACTTCTAGTAATTCACTGTAAGCTATCTCGGCTATACGGTAATTTTGGTTTATAGCCGCTGCTCCAGCCAACGTTGCCCAGAGATAATGTTCCTGAAATTTGAAGAAATTTTATTTTTTTATATTTCTTAAAAACCTTAAAAAATTTTTTTAATTTGAAAAATAATTTTTAAAAACTTTAAAATACCCCACCTTTATAGTCCTACACATCCTCAGCGCCTTGTCCCATTCATTTTTGCCAAAACATTTGTATAATCCGCCCAAGAATGGTGGTATGTAAGCGATGACCAAACTTCCATCAGATCGTCTTACTGTAACACCATTCCCAATAAACCCTACTACAAAAGCCGACTTTCCCATATCTTCATTTTCTACCGTAATACAAGTCTTGGCCAAGAGATCCCGGTCAGTAAATACGACCGATGGCATCGACCAACAAATGACGCGACGTTCACGAAAGGCTGCTAACATATTGGTGACGTTGTTGAAGTGAATGTTCGAGATGGTGGAGTCTGAAGGTATATTTTGTAAAATACGTAGTGAGAAGTTTTATTTACTACTATGACCTACTTCATCATAGCCTACGCTCTTTACTCTATTCTACCCTAGCCTATCTTACCCTATCCTACGCTGCCCCATATTAACCTACCCAGCTTTTCATATCTCCTCAGCGCTCCATAAGAATTGATCTTCCCCAAGTAACAATCCGAGTTCACGTCCACAAAAGCGATTCGTCGTTCCGCCAACGTTCCAACTTGATTCAGCGCAACTTCGACGACTTCAACAGAATGAGTGATCTTCCCATCGCCAGCCGTCTTCCCCGTCTTTGTCTCATACAAATGTATCACATTCGGTTGTTGTTTGTCTTTTAGTGCACACACATCATTGGAAATGGCAGCAGTACGATCAGTTAGGTGATCGGCCATATTGATGCCATTGTTCTGACGTAGAGTACATTGTTGACGACCTTCGTAGTTTAGAACTTGGGCTAGGCCTCCGTCGACTAACATAAAGAACCTGCAATAATGTAAAGTTATTGTTACTGCAAGTTACAGTCTGTAACATCCACCCGATATTAGCCAATAAAAGTTAAGTTGACTATAGAAATGGTTTACAGAAGGTTTTTGGCTATAACAATATAAATAATGAAAAGATTTTCTTAAAAATTCATCACCTAAACACTATTTAATACCTACTATAATATAACTCCCAAAAACTACCCAAAATATACTAATTTCCTTACTTTTCGCACAGTAATATCAAGGTAACATTGCCATCTTTCAAGTCACAAATAATAGGTGTATTCCAGTTCTTGGCACTGAAGATATACAACTGTTTTGTAGTAGATACCACCAGCTGACCATAACCCAACTGAAGTCGAGTAACTCTGTTCTTCACTTCCAAACGTTCCTTGGCAACTTCTGACATTACATCTCGAAGGTCGATACGACGATTCTCCACTTGAACTGCTTCGATGTTGTTCCACCATAGTCTTCTGAAAAGGTTCTACTTGTATTTACTACTATATCTATAGTATTGAATGTTGTCTATATTGCACTTGATTTTTGAAATCATTTTTGTTCAAAATAATCAAAATTTAAATTTAGAATAATATAAAAGGTAGACAAAGTAACAGATAGATCAAAAATACAAAAAAAAATATCTAAAACAAAAGATAGATCAAAAACGCACCTGTCGACCACAGTACCGACAAGAATCTGGCCAGTAGCACAAGCCGCAGCTAATTGAGTACCATCCAACGACCAAGACAACTGATAGATCGACCCGACCTGACGACGTTCTACTGAATGTGACCACTGTAAACAATGCATATAAAGTTATATGTTCATTACCCCCTCCTTTTTTACTGTTTTTAAACTTATTTTCTTATCCAAAAAATATTTTTTTTGAAAAATCACAAGTAATTTTTATTTTTAAAAACGCGTTGCAACTATTGATCCACAATTTTTGTTGTTGAAACATTTATAACATTGCGTATAATCCAAAATTTCAATTTTAAAACTAAAAGCAAATAAGTAATATTATAGATAATATATTTTATATATTGTATTATACAGACCTACTTACCCCAGCCCTATCACAAAGTCGAAGCACATTAAAGCTTCCCACAGCAAACAATTCCCCATCAGAATTCCATGCCAATGATGTGATGGGATAGTTATGTTGATGTGATGAGTACAATGGTCTGCCGAACGAATCAAACACTCTATACCTACAATCTTCACCTCCAGTCACTATCAGATCGACAGCACTCGACCATGCCAAACATAGTACAACGCCTTCGTGAGCTTTCCATTTGGTTGGTTGAACCTGGTTCTTCAATGACATTATCACACAATTCTCGCCGAAAGTGTACACGATTCGACTGCCATCTGAATTCCAATCGGCCGCGTAGATTGGACGACCAACTTGAGATAGTACGTTGCGTAACATACCACTACGGGACCAGGTTTTCAAGGCTCCATCTTCACCGGCTACAACAATATTTTGTTAAAATTGAAAAAGTGTAAAACGCCGTCATGCCCGCATCAATTATAATATGCGCCATTGTTTTTGCATCAACTATAAAAGTGCCATTCTTTTAGCATCAAAATTAACACGCGCCATTGTTCTGCATCAGCAATCGAACTTTTTGTAAAACAGCAATTAAAACACTTTTGTTACCTAAAATCAAAAAAAAACAAAAAAGCGTACCAGATAAAAACCCGGTACCATCATGACTCCATTTGACGCACAAAGTAGCACCATCATGAGCATCAATTGTTTTGTCAATTTTGGATGTATTTCCATTAACTTGTTGCACTTTTCCATCTGATGTAGCGACAAGAATCAGTTCGGCTGTGTTAGCTTTGGCTCCAGTATTAACTTGACGATGGAGAACATCGATTTGGATCGGGTAACTTTGACTGGAAAAGGCATAATAACAAAAAATAAAGAATTTTTTAAAGAAATTAACGTATAGGTATAAAAGAGTTTTAAAAAAATTCAGCTTTAGACTTTTTAAACATATAAAAACTAAACATTTATACCTAAAAAACAGAAAAACAAAAAAAAAATATTTTTAAATTTCAAAAAATTGAAAATTAACAAAATTCAACAAATCTACCTATTGTAATTACTAATTTCGTGATGCTGATTAGTATCAGATGACCATTGCATCAGTTTTCTGTCGTCTCCAATGTAAATGGCCGTCTCGTTGTTCAGCCATCCGACGCCGACCGTCGGATTCGAATCCTGGCTTTGGACTTCTTCGTTCAGTAATCGAAGCTTCATTATTTGTAAAATACGACACGGACTGAGTATTCTTCGGAGTTGAAAAAACTTTACAATAAACTTAACTTACATGCATCTACATATTTCTTTGTGGGAAAATTTCGAAAATATTGTTGCTATGACAACGTCCAACATAAGTAGTTTTGCGCGGAAAAAATGAATTTGAATTAGAAAAAAAATGTTTTTAGCGTGACGCCCACCTAGGGGCGATTTCAATTATGGGCGGCTTCATTTATGGGCGATTCTATTATGGGCGATTTCAATTATGGGCGGCCCAAGTTTTGTACTACCCGACCCTACCCTTGACCTTTTTGGCTATACCTGACCCTAACCCTGACCTTTTTGGGACTACCTGACCCTACCCCTGACATTTTTGGCCATACCTGACCTTAACCCTCAACTTTTTAGCCCTACTCAAGTCCAGGTAGGGCCAAAAAGGTCAGGGGTAGGGTCAGGTAGGGCCAAAAAGGTCAGGAGTAGGGTCAGGTAGGACCAAAAAAGGTCAGGGGTAAGGTAAGTCCAAAATTCATTTCAGTACTATTTTAATAATACTGTACCGTTTTTAGTACCATTCTAAGTTTAGTACAAAACTTGGGCCGCCCATAATTGAAATCGCCCCTAGATACCCGTAACCGTTTTTAGTGATACAGACAAGTGTTGCTAAGATTTTCGTTTAAAAAATCTTGCGTTTTAGTCAACGAAATCAAAAAACCTAACCATGATTCTTATCTTTAAGTTCAAGTCTAAACAAGGAAAGTGCCCAAACCCCCCCCCCCTTTCCTGCTATAATTGACTTCAACTTTTTATATAAAAATATGGTGTAAATATAAGATATGAAGAAAAGTACTAAATCGCATTTACCATGAAATTTTGAGAAAATCGAGATCAAAAAATTAAGTTTTGAATTTCCCGACAAATTGGCATTGTGTTTCAAGCTTATAACTTTGTCGTTTTTTGACTTTCACTCATTTTTCTTTGATAAGCTAATAGAAAACCCTTAAATGAGCCTACTTTTTTTAAATTTTAAAATTTACTACACGTAGAACATCAAAAAGGGCATGCAACACAATGCAAAAGTTGCCAAATTATCGGGAGACTCAAATATTTAAAATTTAAAACTCGAAAGCCCGAGCTAAAATGTTTTATGGGTATTACTGGTGGTACAAAGAATTTATATAAAAATTTTGAGCTGATTCTGAGTGAGGCAAGATGGGTACTTTTCTTGTTAAACAATATTCAAACACTTGCCTTTCTTTTCTATGAATGGTAATTTTTAGGTAGCGTTACAGCATCAATCGTATTTTACAAGTTTTCATAACATTTAGCTACCACAACAAACAACTTCTTTTACTTTAATGTTTTACTTTACTTTTTTTCGTCAGTTGTTCTTCAATTTATTAAAACCAATAAAAACTAACATTTTTTTCGGAACTACATTACATTTTCCGCCAATTTAGCTGTGAACTTTTGTTTTAATAGCTTTGGAGCACAATGCACGTCACTCTTATTGTGCAAAAAGATTGTCACTTTAGGCTTTATGTAAAAATAATGTTCGTTCCTTTTTTTTCTTTTTTCGTTCTCCGGTATCCGGAAAGTGGAAAAGACTTGTTGAATATGTTTTGCTCGCCTTCTCAAACTTCGGGGTCTCCCGAAAGGTTTTAGCGCAGTTAGCGTGGACCGGTGTTTTGCCGGACCGGAAAAACAGTTTTCACAAAGAATACTTTAATCATCAGCATACATTTAGTAGTTACTGTTAACGAATTTTGTCTTCCAGATGCCAAAAACCAAAGAAATTAGCCTTTTACATAACAGTTACCTTTAACATTGTCAACTCTCATAATATTATTATTGTAAGTCCTATTACATTTATCGATTGTAAAAGTGTTATGATACAGTTCATTCTAATCAGCAATAAATACTACAAATATAAAATTTACTGTTTGTTTTTGGGCTGCCAGCTTTGCACCTTGGGTCTGGTAGTCGAGCATGGGATTTATTTCTCGTCCCTGAAAGTACAAAAACAATATAACCTTGATTTAAACAATACACTAAAAAACTTAATATTAAAAAGCATCCAGTTATACAATAAAAATTGTCAAATAACCAAAAGCAAACACTTACATGTAGATAGAAGTGTTCTCCTTGTGGTCAATGATCCAATTCCTGTCTACTGGAGGCTTGACGGTGAGAGACATGTTGGGACTCAAGTTTAACAACCACGTTAACAATCCGGCTTCAGCTATTGTTACTGATTCATCCTTAATTAGCTTTCTAGGGAAGGCAGTGTACAACTTGAACGACTGTAACGCCAATTCCGGTACAGATCTAAAGAAAAATTACAATTATATTTCAAAACTCACCAAGAAAATTATGTTACTTCATAAAGAAGTATAAAAATTGTTATATTTTACCAAGTTTAAATAATTAGGTGACAAATACAAAACTTACAATAAAATGTACGACGTCCGCGACAGCTTGTGACGGGTAGGAACTGCCATTCAAAGTTTCACTAGTATGTTTTCTAAAACGCAGTTTCGGGGAAGACTTTTCGGGGAAAGACTTTTCGGGGAATGGAAGTTTCGGGGATGGAATCTCCGGGGAATGCATTTTCGGGGAATGAACTTTTCGGGGAATAAACCCTGACTGAATCACATGTGCTTTTCTTAAGTATCGTTAACGTTGACATCGTACTATGAACGTTCCTATGACGCTTTTTTGTATACTTTTTTTAAACTGTAGGATGTAAATGTAAGGTCGCATGTTAGGTAGATTGTGAAAATCGTACCGTGAACGTTCAAAAGTTACTGTTTTTGAAGTACGACTATAATTTACTATCAGATGTTTTTGCGTACTAAAAAAAAGCTGTAACATTAGAACGTTCACGGCACGGTACGATAACTTTCACAGTACTCTTTGCGACCTAACATTAAAAGCATACAAAAAAGTGTCAAAGGAACGCTCAAGGTACGATGTCAACGTTAACGATACTTGAAATTTTTTAAATTGCCCCGAAAAAATATTTCCCGAAGGGTACATTCCCCCGAAGGGTACATTCCCCCGAAAATGCATTCCCCGAAGAGTCCATCCCCCGAAAGGTCCATTCCCCGAAAAGTCTTCCCCGAAAATTCCTTCCCCGAAACTGCATTCCCCGAAAAGCCCCGCTCCCTGGGAGGGCAGCCGACCAAACTGCGCAAGATTTGTCAGAAAGTCATCATGCCCAGATCGCAGCGACGATCCTGCTACAAACGAGGCTATCACAAGATCGATCCTGACATCGAGTACGAAGTAAGTCGTTTATAAAATGTATTTCGATACCCCAACAGTACTTTGTCATGCACTTCATCGTGTTTTTTGCCATGTTTAAAGTTATTTTTAATAGCTTTTTATTATTATAATATGCATAATATACGTTGCCTAAACATCACTGTTTTGCCTTTTGTGATCTCTGAGTCTCTTTCTTGAGGCAAGAATATTAAAACCCTTGAAAAATGAAACAATACCTACAAGTTTCATTTAGCTCTCGACAGAAAGAACCAAGAATGTTCCGCCAGATAGACAGATATTAATTAAAATGGACACCAATGACTACTCGGAAAGTAACCGAACTGTAAACGAGATTCAGCAGATGAATTTGGCCTTCGAAGAGAAACTTACAGTAATCCGACACACTCTCGACGAGCTAGAATAAGACCACAACCGCAAACTCGACCACTGTGCTAATGCGTCGTACCACTTGTGCAGACCTAAACATGAACTGCGAAGCATCAGAGGTAACGCAAAGTTGGAAGAGTGTAGGCTCCGGAATGCTTTAATCAAAGAGAAACTGAATCATTGCAAAGAATACCTGAAGAACTACGATGCTCTGATGAATTCTCAAACTTTATTCGCCTCAGGCGTTTCGAAAATTAAACCGCTCAATTACGGGCTGATTCGACATGTTAATTAGGGTTGGCATGCGATGATAGTAGAGTAGTTTTTATGGTTGGTATGAGGTGATAGTAAAAGAGGAGGATAGTTTTTAGTAGCCAATACATTGGTTGGGTATGTTGATATTGGGGATGGTAAATTTTTATCTATGGACGAAAGGGGAGGGGTAGGGTATGGTAGAAAAGTAAAATCTATAAGGACCACAGTGTATCTATATACGTTTACTAAGCTTCGAACAATACGTCTTCTACTGAAATTACTTTTTATTATATTATTGTTGTCATATACATACAATGCATATGCGTCAAGTGCAGTAAATGGCCGTTACACTCCGTTATTGTATAATACATATAAAACGTATGTACGTATAATATATTATAACATATACATATTTCTTGTTATAGAATTCTTAACATATAATATTTTTACATTCTGACCTATTAACATGCCAACGATACGATATATTACAGTAATGTACAATTTTATTCTATCTATTTACAAAATCGTTTCTTGTAGACGTAATTGTAAATAACTTTAATGTAGATATAGTTGTAAATAGCTAGACTTGAATATTCTCATCTGTTGATGTATGTGTTCCGTTCCAAATGTCAGACGTAAAAACAAAGATACGACGATGTCTGTTATGTATGTTCACTTGCAAAGAAGACATAACATTTTCTATCAATTAACTCTTTTTTGCATATACAAAGTCATTAGACTAGATACTAATTGTAAAATACTAACATAGGAAAGATGTCTAAATTTAGAATAGAGTAATGGGTGTGGATAAAAAGTCTTATTTTAGGCAGTAATGCATTACATTTTACACTACTAATAGAAAGTAGTTGTTACGTTTGATATCATGTAATTCAGGCCTGTTATTATTTATTTTTATGTGGGAAAAGGTTTCCTTTGTTGCGTTAGAACAATGACCAAAAGATATCCTTTTCTGTTTATTTTTGCGAACACAAGTTAATATATTCTTACTTTTTCATATTTTTTAACTTACAGTAATTTTTTAAACTTTTTAACTGTTAGATTAAGAAGAATTTTTAGGATATTCAACTAGAATAGCAAAACATAATGTTTTTATTTTAAGTTGATATAATTATAACATTTTAATTAGTATTACAGTAATTTTTTAAACTTTTTAAGTTTAGATTAGCTAAAATGATGAATAGAGGTATTGAAGCATCGCTTGTTTCAATCACTAGACGCTTTTATGTTTACAAGGATAGTACCCAACTTGCCCTATTTAAAACGAATAGAAAATTCAAATCTTGATTTTCTTGAAATTGATTGAAAAGCGCGATTTAGTACTTTGCAGAAGATCTTGTATTTACATGGTCTTTCTGTATAAAAATTTCGAAGGCAATCAGAGCGGGGCAGGTAGGTCAATTTCCTTGTAAATATGAACCTAACGAAATTTTTTATTTCCTAACATGCTAAACATTGACGTGAGTACATTATTCATTTTTTTATGAAACCTTTTAAAACGTTTTTTTTTCATTTTTGTCATTACGATCATTTTTTATTGTTAACCTTTGACATATGTTGCATTCTCAACTTTTTTACATCTTATCTCAATCAATAACCTTATGTTTCACCTTTTTAACTCTTTATTCAACCTAAACACCTTGTTTTTTATGCCCTTATCATATCACCTAAACATGCCCTTTTCATATCACCTAAACACGCCCTTATCTATCACCTAAACATCTGATATCACTGAAATAATAAACAATGATTGAGGGTCATCTGTCTGTTTGTCCTCACGTCATCTAGGCTACTTTTTCAGCGCCGTTTGACCCCACTTTTCGTGGAGGACTGTGAGGAACGTTGGGGGCACGTTATGCCGTTTTTATTTGTTTCCGGCTTCAGACCAAAAACAGACGTACTAACGAGCACTTTAACGCGTTTTCTTCGTTTTATTTTGGCCTCAAAAGTTAATTAGTGGCTGATTAACGGGAAACGAGGGGGGAGGGCTTAGGCGGTGTTATTCAGGGGTGTGAGAAAGTGTATGTTACATGTTAAAATTGTTAGAATTGGGTAGAAAGTTGTTAGAATAGCGTAGAAAGCTGAAAAAGAGGGCTATATTGTGATGCAAAAGTGTTATATTGATATATAGATAAGGTTTTGAAGATATTTTTGGTATGAGTTTGTCAAAATAAGACAAGTTAGCACTAGAATTAATAAAAAATAAGCTTATTGTAATAAAAATAAAAATCTTTTTGTAAAAAAGACTCTGTAGCTTGTTACTTTTTATATTTTAATAACCTAAATCAGATTTATTATTTTTCAATTTTTTTATCTTTTTGTGTACTATATATCTTCTGAAATATAATACCACGGGTCTTTAAAAAGAAGTATCTAGATTCGCTTCTAAATGCATCTCGTTTTGCTCTGACAAAGACGTATACATAAAGCATTTTACTCGAAAAGCTGTCCGTTTTGAAAAATTTTATAAAAAATAGCCTTTTGAATTTAAAATTGAAATTGTTTAAGCTTTTTACGAAATTTAGAACTGTTTTGTCATTAAAAAATTGCCTTTAACTATCATCTTGGAACTGTTTCTTTGAAACAGCTAATTCCGTTCATTATGAAAAGAAAACGTGAAGAATGCATAAAATTTAACGCTTTTCCGCCTAAAACAAGGTCGCTGTACCCTTTTATTATTCATTCGTTTATTTTCCGTGTTTGAATTGATTGACATAAACTTTTAAGTTGATTTTGTTACTAATTACACTATTTTTCAAAAATTTTATTAAAGCTTTTTTATTTTTGTTTTAAATTTTAATTGTTGTAAAAAGTAATGTTGGATGTTAATAAAGTTGTGATTTTAGATTAAAAATGGACTTCAATCTTAAAAAACTAGCCAACGATGCTAGCGGACTCTTCAGTAGGGCTAAGCAAGTAAGTAAAATCTTATTTTGATTTAAACTTTTTGTTTACAATACTGTAAAAGTTAAAATTACGGTTAGTAAAGGGGGCGGTAAATGATAAAACTTTAAAAATACAGCAACTTATTGTTAATATAACTCCTGTTAACGCCTTAAAATTAAAATTTTAGTACACAGAAGAGACGTTTTTAAAAGCTGAAAAGACAGAACTGGATCCACACTTCGAACAACTACTACAACGTGCTGATAAGACTGAAGAACACACTAAGAAGTTGTTGAATTGTATCGAAAGCTACTTACAGCCTAATCCAAGCAAGTTTTTTACATTTTTAAATTTCATTTTTAGAAAATTATATACACATTAAAAAAAATTCCCCCCCCCCCTTTTCCCGCTACCTAACTCCCAGTTCAAAATTACCCTTCCCATTACTGTCTACTGCTAACGACCGTTCATTTTCAGCTGTTCGAATGGAAGATGTCTTTTACGAGAAGTTGGAATTGAAGAAAGAAAGTCATCGTGACAATAACCTGGAGGCGTTAGGGAAGGCTATGTTGGATGCTGGGCATGAGTTTGGAGCTACTAGCCTATATGGCAGTGCTCTATTAAAGATTGCCAAGACAGAAACAGCGATTGGGCAAAGAGAATCTGAATTCATAAATACGGCGGCTACGAATTGCCTTTTGCCTATCAGAAGGTTCTTGGAAGGAGATATGAGGACTATTCAGGTAGGTTATATAAAGTCTTTGTGATAGCGCTTATAAAAGAACAAACAATTTATTATAAGAGAAATGGCAGGTTTCGGCAAAAAGAATGGCGTGTTTTATGCTTGATGAGAAAATAATGGCGCATTTTATAGTTGATCCGAAAAGAATGGCAGGTTTTGTGATTGATGCAAAAAGAATGGCGCTCACATTTCATAGTCTATAACGAGACATTCTTTGTAGCTGTGCTGACTTTAACGAGAGCCTATTGCATATAAAGTAACCGTATGTTTTCAGAGAGAACGTAAAGTACTACATGGTAAACGCCTCGACCTAGATGCTAGTAAATCAAAACTGAAAAAGGCAAAAACACTTGAAGCTAGTGCTGTCGTAAGTTTAAACTTGAAATATATATCAAAACTTTGAAGTCATCCACGATGAAAGCAATCACAACAAAATTATTTACAATTCTTAAAAATATTTTTTACTATATATTACCCTTTTACTATGGAAAATAAAGTAATTATTACTGTTTTACTACGAACAACAAATAATTATTTTAAATTTTAAGAAAAACGCACCCTCAGGCGACACAATCGAACAGGTGAAAAAGAACTCGATATTGTGTTGTTATGGCTGTTGTTATGTGCTATGTAGTACCGTGAACATATTAATATAATATCGTAAACAAAATACACTATAGTTATTGGTTTACGTAATATTCGTATTTTAGGCAGAAGCAGACCTCCGAGTAGCACAATCAGAATTCGACAAGCAATGCGAAATTACAAAATTGTTACTGGAGGGCATTCAAACTGCTCATGTATGTCTTTTTTCGGTTTTTAAGACAGTGCAACTACCTTTACACTTTATTTGATGTTAGTTTTACTATTTTGGATATAAAACGTGATCTTATATCAAATTTTTTAGAACAATCAATCAAAGTGCATAAGAGACTTTGTTGATGCACAGACCAGCTTCTACGCTTCGGCCCACCAACAGATGGTAGATTTACAACGAGAATTGTCAAGGTAATTTTTTATGGTTAGATTTTTGTTGATTACTTATATATAGTTTTTAAAGTATTTTGTTGTTTTTTCTGTAATTTTGGCACTTTTTCAAAAGTCCTCGGGCATTTTGAAGATTTTAAACGTCACGGTGACTGCCGTAATGTCCAAGGACTTTTGATATGTTATTAGCAATGTTGGTTTATTTCCGTATAGTTCTACTGCACATAATTTTTATTTTCACACTATCTGTACATAAATGTAGTTTTTAACTATTTTTCGTAGCTTTTCAATGTAAATCTTGGGTTTTGATTGTTTTTACCGTTTCAGCGTCGGAAACTCTCCGGATTCTGGATTGGGCGTAGTTTAAACTGGCCGAAAATACGCATTTTGCAACACTTTATTGCTCAGCAACACTTACCTTGTGCATGTGATGTCACAGTGATTGTATTAGTATTTGTAATTATATTACACTAGTCGTTTGTGATCTTTCAACAGTTATATTTCGAATAAAGTCTAATTTATTGTCACAAAAGTTTTTGTGGATTGTAGACAATTTATTTTTATATCAGTGTACTAGATTTGAAGAAACAATATTGTAAAATACGGTTATACTGTCAATTTTTACAAAATTTCCAATTTAGCCCCGGCTCAGATATTGAAATCGAGTTGATTCCAAATGGATCCGAAGACTCTCTGAAGTCGTACAATTCGTCAAATTCTTCGAAAACTCGTCAGGCACGAGCTCTGATGGACTATGCTCCTCTTGATAACAGCGAGATCGAGTTGAAGGCCAACGAAGTTGTCATCATGTACAGTTTGCCAGGTATGGACACTGATTACGTAATGGTGGAGAAGATGGGGAAACGCGGAAAAGTGCCACTTACATTCTTACAAGAGATTTGAACACTTATGTACACAAATATTTGCAAAAACATTAGATACTATGTGCCATTTACAAGTTTAGCCTAATAAATTACCTTAATCTACCTGAAGATCAATGTTTTTGTAAGAGAAATCGGAAGCGTTGTACTAAAAATTAACTTTTTCATGAAAAAAAGTAAACGTTAATATTTTCAATTAAAATACGGTATTTTTTACCTAATATTAAGACCATAAATTTTGCCACAAAACAAAGTAAACCTCGTTGTTTTCTCTATGAACGAAAAGCCACAATAAATATCGGTTTTTGCTCGCAGTTCCTATAATTTCCACGCGTTTTTCTAAAAATTCTATCAATTTCTCGTATGTTTCTAATAAAAATCTGAAATTTGATCTAATCTCATTAAAATACGATGGCCGAGACCATTCGACAATATTGTGTCGCATTGAACGAGGCCGAGAAAGACGAAGATTACGATAAAATCTTGGAAATCAGCGACAAACGTAAGTTTTAAGTTGGCTTGGGGGGGGGGAGGTTTATTGGATTTTACCTTTTTAATAGTAAGTACGTATCTTAATTAAACGGTTTTCATGTAATTTTGAATAGTTTTATGCTATGTTTTACTGAGTTAAAACATTTTTTTTCAGTTTTGGAATCAGGTCTAGAACAAGTAAAGTCGTTGCCAATTCTTCAATGCAAGTTGACTGCTTTGGTTCAACTTGGACAACATGATGATGCTTTGAAGTTTATTGAACAACATGGAGAAGGCGAGCTTGGGTAGGTTATTGTTTTGTAGTTTTTTTTTTAATTTAGGCAACAAAATCCAAAAAGGTATAAGGATGGTTTCTGTTTTCTTAAGGAATTGGTGAAAAAGACTTTTCAAGGAAGTATAGAATTACTTACTACTCTTTCGTGTATCTTTGGATATTTAATAAGAAGTATGATTTTTAGAGATACTGTTGCTACTCGTGCTTACATCTACTACGCCCAGTACAAAAACGACGAAGCCTTGAAAGTGTTGGAAGATGCTGATCCTGAGGATTTTACAGCTTTGGAAGTTAAAGGCCAGCTGTTTTACAGGCTTGGGCGTTACGAGGAAGCTTATGAAGTTTACAGGTCAGTTTTAAGTTTATTATTTTTGGTTTAGGCATTTAAACAACATTCGTAGATACAAAACGCGTATTCTCTTTATTCTTAAAATAATAAGTATATTATTTTGTAAGAAAATAAAGCTAAGCTTTATAATGCCGCGAATTAACTTCAGAAAGCTTTGTCGAGAAGGTGGAGATGGTTTTGACGAGCTCCGCAGAGCCAATATGTTAGCCGTCTTAGGTCAAATGCAACAAAGTGGGCAGAAGAAAACGGAGCCATCTACATCCGGAGTAGATACCTATGAACAGCTCTATAACCATGCTTGTCATCTGATCGCCTGTGAGAAGTATGACGACGCTCGGAAGGCGTTGGACAAAGCGATTGATTTGTGTCGAGAATTCTTGACGGAAGATGGCGCCTCTGAAGACGAAATCGACGATGAAATAGCTGTCTTTTTGGTTCAGAAGGCTTTTATTCTTCATGCTACTGGTAATGTGGCTGAAGCCATCAATTTGTACAAGAAAGTTCAGGAAATGAAGTATGTTTTGTGTTTTTTACCAAGATTTTGATTTCGTTTGTTGTTTTTTGATATGGTATTAGATTTTTTAAATTTTGGTTTGAGCTATGTTAATAATAAGTTATTTTCAGATCAACTGACACAAATGTTAAGAAGGTGTTAGCCGCAAACTTAACTCCATTTAAGAACAAGTACTTATTGAGAAGGGCGTTGAAGAAAGAAGGAGTTGATAGAATTGAACATCAGGTAAGAATCTTTTTAAAGACAATAAATAATTTTTCTATTACTTTATCTATGTATTTACCTTACGATAAAATTTATTTTTCGTTTATAAATTAATTTTGTGATGATGTTTTAGGAAATTGTGACCGGAAAGCTTCGCAAGCGAAAGAGAAAGGTTATATTACCCAAGAACTATGATCCTAACGTGACTCCAGATCCAGAAAGATGGATTCCGAAGAGTGAACGGTCAACCTTCAAATCCAAGAAGGTCCACAAGAAGTTCAAGGATCGTGATGTTGGCAGAGGAACACAGGGTGCTTCTAATGCTAATACCGCAAATATGTAAGTTTTAAATTCATGACTTTATCGCCCTAATAGTAAAACAGAACGTCAAATCTTGATTCAAGAATTATTCTTTTAGTGATTACACAACAGCTGGGCCAAAAGACTCGCCCAAACCGTCTCCATCCCCTGCTGCGGCCAAGCCAGGCCCACGACAACAAAAGGGCAAAAAGAAGAAGCGTTAATTTATTTTGTGTTTTATATTGTTACAGTAAATATTTTTTATTCAAAATCGGAGTTTTAAGTGATTGGAAAGAGGTGAGTATATTATGTTTTTCATATTTTTTTGTCATACGTGATAATATTTTAAAAGCTGTGATAATATTCTCAACGTTCTCGTTGTAGTTCTCTACTACAATAAGAACGTTCTTTTTGACCGACCTGAAAATTTAAGCACTGTAAAAGAGCATACTGTTGTTATTCTTCAACATTTCAAAATTAACTTTCAGCACGATATTTATTTACATCAAAAATTGATAAATTGGCAAGATTAAGTATAAATTTTAAAAATTTATAAAATGACAAAATTTCCAAATTGTGACTAACAAAAAGCAAGAATACTTTTAAAATAGGACCATACTTATATCTGAGATTTTTAGCAAAGTTACAGTATACTGCAAAAAAGCACCGTAAAATAAGGAAAATGACGAGTTAAGAAAGATCACACAGGCATATGGCAAAACTGGCAGCAAAAGTATCACCCACGTAGAATGACTATAAATTTAAAAATTTGGGTTTGTATTTTGATTCTTAAGCTTATAACAATACAAACATTAATGAATACCTATATATTTCTTTTTTGAAAACTAAACATTAAATAATAAATACAATATCTACTTACTGAAACAAGCACATTAAAGATCTACTACTAAGACAAGCCTAGCCTCTAAATCTTAATATTCTCAAACTGCTCCATCAACTCCTTTGTGTCATTGTCAGTCACATCAACATTGCTCAAGTGTAACTTCATTTGTCCATTAATAGCCCTGTTTGATGTTGAACTCATCAGTCCTTCAACTCCATGTTGTTTTACAGATGTCTTTACCCATTTCTTCTCTAATTCATCATTTTCTTGTTCCGATTTCAAGCATTTAACAATATATTGGCATAATGGGTGTTCTTCGTCCACAAACACTTCGATCTTGCCTTTCCTCAACTGTTTCATTTGGGTGGTGCGCAGATCTCCAAAGTGCTGAAAAGATAAATTGAAACCTTTTTGCTACTTTCATTACAACTTTTCGTTTATTTTTCTTGTTATTTTCTAACCATTAGGTCATTCAAATAAATCTGTCCCCTAACCTCAAAAATTTTCCTTAAGAGGAGGCACAGAGTTACTTAAACAACCTAGTAAATCATCAAAACCAAGGTTATTTCGCTTACCTTTTCCAAAAATTTGAACAAATCAGTGAGATCACAGCACGGCACGTCCTTAAATTTGTACTCCAAAGCGTCTTCAGGTATTTTCGGGAAAATGTGAGAAATATCTGGGTGCACATCACGCAGGAGTGGTTGCCACTGTCTTGGAAGGACCTTGCTGAAATGGGAAATATTACTTTCCTTACGTCCATTCTGTTCCTGAAACATCAACAAAATTTATAAAACACCCCATCGCTCATAAACATTGGGATTCACTCAGGATGCTCAATGTACTTACAAATTGTGCGGAGTAATAGAAGCAAATAGCTGTGACATTACATTAGTTTGAGAATACAAGTGTTTAAAGATGGGCGGGCTTTCTGGAGTCAAATGTACAATGTCGCTTATGTGTGGTATGAATTCATATGTATTGTAGTAATCACAATCTACTTTGAGACCCTTAAAGTGATGTTATTACATAAGGTATTACACACGTTAATACATAAGCTCACAAAACATATCCGTGTCTATACTAACATCAACCTTCCATAAGGTACTAATATCACCAACGTAAAAAGACCCGATAATACATCTCAGTATCATAAACTTACTTTAACCATATAGTCATAGGTCCAATAGATGCTTTTGTAAAATTCAAGAGTCAATTTTATTCTAAAACCTTGATCCACGCTACCATAGTAAAATTGATAATATTCTTCAACGCTGCAGTTCATATTGGCCAAGCTCATAAAATCCGTAGCCGACTTAGAATTGCTTTCAAACAAACACCGAAAGAATCCTTTCAAATTTTCATAGATAATACTTCTATCCTTAACCAAAGGCTTGTGGAACATTTGCAAACAACTCATTAGTAGTCGGGCAGCAAAGTAGAACGATCCCTGAAACCATGGCTCCGATTCAAACCAAGCAGCAAAGAAGATCTGAAAAACTTGCATGTTAAAACATAATTAATGTAAATTATAAACAAGTTTTAGAGGGTTAACTTACATAGTGCTCCATCACATCCATTCCCTTGACATAACGAAACTCGTTCAAAATATGATCCTTGAGCACTTCCAAATCAAGAACAGAATAAACATCCGTAGGCGGTACTAGCTTAATCGGCAAGAATTGCCAAGCCACAGTTGCATTACATTGATGATATTGATGGTTTTCAGCCAAACAAACACAACATCCATCGTTCCTGGGCCCTCTTCTTATCACATAAAAGTTTTTGGAATTCAGTGTTAGAGCTTCGATTAATGACGTATTTTCTGGAAAGAAAGCCATGTTTGAGACGTCTGGAGGATAATGTTGAGACCGGATAAAATCCAAGATTTTGGCAGTCGGCTTTCCCGGTATTGTGTGATTTGACACTATAACCTAAAACAAAAATATTATAAATTTCCATTTTTATGAAACAGTGCCTATAACATCAAAGCAAATTGACTTAATTATACTATCAGTCTATGTATTTAAACATGAAACGCAATAAATAGAAGAACCAACATACCATTAGATTCTTCCATTCTTTCTCCATCCTCCTATTTATGTGGTTATCAAGAGTATGAACGACCTTATCCATGAAATCAGACCCAAAATGCACCGCGAATGTGTCGAAATTCTCACAGAATCTTTTAGGAAGTTCAACATCGTGTTCAGCCAGCTTTTCGCGAACACTTTGTATCTTTTCATTAGCTCGATGATGTTGTTCTCCCCGAACCAATCGCTTTGGACGTCGACGAACCAGTTCTTGCATTGGAATAAGACCACAAAACGCCATGTACAACAACTTTTTAAGCTTAATTGTATCGACTAATTCGTCTAAGGCATCCATGCACATACTCTGAAACAACATCTTATAAAGATAAACTTAAAATTTGTTTACAACACCTTTTTTGTAAATAAAATCCATTTAAAATAACATCCCAAAGACAAGCCGAAAAGCCCAAAAATAAAAAATTTAAAAAACAAGAGTAAGATCAACGTATCCAAACATAAAAAAAAGTATTGACTTCATTAAACTTACCAATAGCTGCCGTTCCGTCTTTATCCCGTAAATATCAGCCATGTGGATGCGATTCAACATGAATATACCCATATTCAAGAACAGATTGTCAACTTCCTAAACGCGAAAAAATTTGAATAAAGCTTATAACCTTACTATTCCAAAACTACCAGTCGACTTGTCCATCACAATCTCCAAATCTTTATAATTTTTAACGTATGCTCCATATAAACCACGAAGAACCATTTTAGTTTACTGGCCTTATCAAAACTAATGAATAAATAATAAAAGTGTGAATCACAAATACAATAGTTTTGTGGAGAAGCTAAGACTTATCTTATCATTCGCCAAACTACCAAAAATCTTTTTTTTTATTAATTTTTGTGACTTTCCGTTTCTTTGATATCAGTGACACTACGTTTACTTGTTATCGGCAAAGAACTCTCAAAAAATAAAAATATTTTCGGAAAATAGTGACCTCAAAATAAGACAGTTGATGTAAAAACACAATTCAAGCGTGTCTGATAATCTTATTTTCGTTGATTTCAGGGTAGACAAGTGTGATAAGGGAATTGCTCGACCACAGATTGGTGTATGTTTATTACTCGGTTGATTAAGCAAATGGCAAGTGACAATTACAAGGTTGTGTTGAAGAGCCACTTTGCCGGCAAGATTCCAGTCACCGTGTATCGGTCGGAACGTACTGGATTGCATGTTGCTTTGGCTCAAACGAAAGGACCGACTGTTTCTTGCCAAATTAACTTTGGTTTGTTGTTTTTCATTTTTTTGAGTTTTAGGTCACTGATATCGGGTTAGACAACTTACGGTAGATGGAAAAGGACAAGCGATAAATATACTTTCTTTTGTTTAGTTTTACATTAAATGGCAGTTTTAAATAATATTGTCTTATGTATAGCAGTTTTTAGATCTCGTCTTTCGAAAAGATAATGGAAGACAAATTTTTTGATGAGTTTTAGTGTAGCTGGTAATTAGGTAAAAACAAATAGTGTTTATTTGAAGAAGTAACTTATGAGTTAGCGAAATTAAAAAAAAAGAATTTGGAAGATTATCTTTTAAAATAATTGATTTAGCTTTGGTAAAATTTATTTTTTAGCTACTGAAACAGAAACTGATGATGGTCTACCTCATACTTTGGAGCATTTGGTTTTTATGGGAAGCAAGAGTTTTCCATTCAAAGGTGGATTAGATCTTCTATCGCTTAATGCTATGGCTGTTGATGGAACGAACGCTTTTACTGCTCAGGTAAGGTTTTGCTGATTTTTTGTTTTATTTTTAGATAATGAGTTGTCAATGCAACGATGTTATACTGGGCAGTTTTAAGTTAATTTTATATTATTCTACAGTCTGGTATAGTATAAAGGAAAATTTAATATCGCTTTTGGTACAATTTTTTACTTCCAGGATCACACTGGCTACACAGTCAAAACGATTGGAGTTCAAGGAATGCAGCAATTCATCCATATTTACTGTGATCATCTTCTTAATCCCCTACTAACCCCCGAGAACTACAAGACTGAAGTGTATCATATAACGCCGGAGGGAGTTGATGCTGGTGTTGTATACTCTGAGATGCAGGAACACGAGAACATGTTGGAATGTATTGTACATAGACAACGATTGGCTTCAGTCTTTCCTGACAATGCTTGTTTTAGAGTCGAAACTGGAGGAAGGTTAAAGGTACTGGTCAATTTTAAATTGTTTTGTAATTTAAGCACGCTAACGGATGTTTAGACTTTAGATTTGTTGAAAAAAAGATAAATTGGGTTTAAAATTCAAATTTATTGTGATAAAGCCTTATACATTGTAGGAGATCCGAGAGTTATGTTCACTTGAAAGAGTCAGAAACTACCATCAGAAGTACTATCACCTTAAAAACATGTGGATATATCTATGTGGAGCTGTGAACCCAGAAGAAATGTTTAAGTCCATTGACAAGATTGATGCCGCACCTGAAAATGCTCCACCAGCCGAATTTGTTCGACCATTTTCAAACTGCACTATACCTGATATCAAGCACAAGAGAACAGAACCGGTGGTCGTAAAAGGGCCAGCTGATCAAGAGGACGAAGGAGTGGTACAAATCGGATTCTTGGGACGAGCGGCTTCAGAATCGGAATGGATTTCAGCTGTCCAGATCTTGTCAACTTATTTGACCAAAACAACTTCAGCACCACTTCAAAAGGAGATGGTGCTTACGGCCGATCCGTACTGTGAGAGTGTTTACATGAGCTTGGATATGTTGCCAAGATGTGAAACCACTTTTGACTTCAGTGGGGTACCTGTGGACAAGTTGGACCAAATTCAAGAAAGGTAAGGAGATTCAAAGCGTATTTTAGAAACAATTGAAGTTTTATTATTTATTGTAAATTTATATAGACACTTGTGTCTTTTACTAGGTGATATTACACGTTTTTAAACTTTTATTGTGTCTTTTTAACAAAGAATAGGAAAAATATTGTTGTTGATTAACTTACGATGACTTTTTAGATTCTTCAATGTGATTCGACAAAATACGACAGCCGAAACTATTGATTTAGAAAGAATACGATACATTATTGAACGAAAGATTAAGAAGTTGTACTCAAAGGTATGTCATTTTTCATATTACGGATTTAGAACTATGTTTTGTGAGTTAACGGATAAACGAAAAAACGTTACAGTTTTAAAAAAATAATATTTTGACTAAAACAGCATTAATTATTTTAAAAATTTTGTCATTTCAGTTGGAAAGCAATGTTGCTAACACAGTTTTCAACGGCCTTACTCTATTCCAATTGTTCTCCGACTCTCACGACAACAAACAACATTTCGAAGCCGTGATGAACCCAATCCCAATTTTGGAGACATTACTGACAAAACCAGTCACATACTGGTCGGAGATTTGTCAGGAATTGTTCCAAGACAATTGTGCTGTTGTTATCGGCAAAGCTGATGAAAAAATGGCAGCAGAATTGAACGAACTCGAGAAAACGAGACTGAAAGACCTGACCAACAACTTGGACAAGTACGGATGTCATATTCTGGAGAAGAGCGGGGAGGATGAGGTAAGGAATGGCTTTAATATTGAATGTTGTGCTTGAGTGATAATGTCTTTGGTTATTAGACGATAAAAGGCTATTTTTGCTAGATTTTTTTGTCTGATTAGGTATAGTAGGTATCAAAAATCGGTGGTTTCTTTGAAAACTGCATAACTTTTTTTTAAATTAGCTAGAAGCTTGAAATTTTTTTGTGATAGTTGAATGGTTTAACGTCGTAAAAAACGAAAAATATTATTTTGAAATTTACTATGATACTGAAATTACAGTACTTTTATTTAACTTGAATTTTTAAATATTTTTTAGTCTTATTGTTTTGGATTAACCGTAAAATTACACATCTGGCTGTTTTTCCACTATTAGTTTAAGTTTATCTTTTAATATAACAGTAATTATTCTACCTTGCCAGACCCAATCAGCCAACTCTCCAATGTCTGTCTCTCCTAAATCTCTTCCAAAGTCTTCAAAACAAAACCCAAAGTCAAGAAAACCGATAAGAAAACTTCAGAACAAAGTGCCCAATCTTAGTGCCATCGAACGATCGAAAACTTTGCAAAAGTTTGATTTGTTCAGCGTAAAGTCATCGCTAGTTCTGCCAAAGGCATTGGAAGGTGGAGAAGTTAAAGTGGATTGGTACAAAGATGCTAGCCAAAAGGTTGCCATCAACGAGCTGCCATTTACAGCTGTGGTTCATGATGTGGATTCGAGCTTTGTTAGGGTAGGTTTTGCTGTGGATGGTTTTTAAGTTTATTGCTGTTTCAGGTTATATTAGGTTCTTCAAATAATTATGTGCCACTTAACCCTAAAGAAAGGACATAGAATTATTTGAACAAACTAATAGGAGGCTATTACTAAAAGTTAAAGTTACATTTAAGTTTGCCAATAACGTTATTTAAATAACGACATTTGACTATACATTTTCAGACCTTGTTCATGTTCGACCTGAAGCAGGTCCCATTGAAACTTCGCAAATACGTGATGATCTTCACTGATCTCTTGTTCAGTTCTCCGGCTACCGTTGATGGACAACAATTGACGGACAAACAAGTAGCGGACCTTTTCACAAAAGAAATTATGGAAAAGAGCTGTGACATGGGCTTCCTTCAGAACTATCTTCACTTCTTCCATCTTTATCTTGAGGTACGGTGATGGAAAAGCTGATTTTTATTTTGTTTTAGATCCAAAATTGAATTTTGCTTGTATTAGTTAATGTTTCTAACAAACAATATTGTTTTAGTGTGCTAATTAACATAAACTGTCTTCTATTTTACTGCTGGGATCAAAGTTATTTAACTTTTTTATTACAGATGCCCGCTGATGAATTCCACCTCCTCCCTAAATGGACTCAAATCATCTTGAACAACACCATCTTTGAACGAGAAAAAGTCTTATCTATCGTCAAGAATCTGGCTTCAGGAGCCTCCAGTTCGAAACGTGATGGCTTCACAATGTGCCAAAACATAATGCACAGCTTGAACAACTCCAAAGACCACGAAAGTCGTTGGCACGAAGACGTTGTTCTCGAGAAATTCCATCGTCAACTGGCCAAGAAGTTGGAGAAGGACAACGCTGAAGCTCAACAAATCATCGACGATCTGAATGAACTCAGAAATCACATTTTGAGAGCTCCATTGAATGCACATTTGATCTGTGATCCGCGAAAGTTGGGAGCCAAGGCCAAGCTCGACAAGAAGAGCTGGGAATTCTTGGACTTTACCGAGAAGAACGTCGCTCCTGTGGCCAAGATTCAGGTAAATTTGGGAAGAAAACTCTAGGAGAATAAACGAACTGAAGCTGATTATTGATAAAACCACATTTAACTTACCTTTACTTAAAATTAGACCGCTAAAAAATAAAAGTATTTCAGTTCGACCGTGAAGAAGATGGAGCTCGTTTCAAGACCTGGGCCCCAGGCCAGAAGGTGATCAAGGTCGATTCCACTGACTCGAGCTACTTCCTCCAACGTGTCCATTGTGAGCACAGCTACGGGTCCCCGGAACACGTTGCTTTATTACTGTGGACCAACTACCTATCCATGATGGAAGGAGTTTTGTGGAAAGAAGTCAGAGGAAACGGATTCGCTTACGGTGCCAACCTCTACGTGTCCCCAGACCATCAGTCAATGACCATGAATCTGTACCGCTGCTCCAGAATCATCGAAGCCTACGAGGCGTCGAAGAAGGCGGTGTTGAAGGTGTTTGATGAAGAATTGATTGACTCTGAGCTCTATGAGAGTGCGAAGAGAGGCTGTGTGTCTAACACAATGTCCAAGTATTCGTCATTGAAGTCGACAGCTACGTTGACGGCCTTCAACGATATGAGAGGAATCAAGATGGAGGACATTGAGTAAGTTAAAGTAAAATAGTTGGGAATTGGGTCGTTTTTGCCAATAAGTCGACGAATTTATTTGAAGTATTTAGTTTTAAAATTTAACCGACAAAAATAGCGCATAGAGATCTTCAACTAATTCAAACCACCTTTAGAGCCCTAACCCACCAGATCTGGGACGCGGACATGAAGGAATCCTTCCAACTGGCCAAGCCCTTCATCATGAAGATGTTCGACGAAGAGCATTGCCTCCGTGCCATCGCTTGCCCATCAAACAAGGTCGAAGACGTGAAGAAGAACTTCCCCAAGATCGAAACCGTCACCGTCGCCGACCTCCAATACACTCCAGAATAACTCCGGAGTCCTTATCAGTTTGTTTAGTTTTGAATTTGTTTCCTAATTCCTGTGAGGCCTTATTTTTAAATATTAAATTTATTTCGGAAACTTAAAAATCTAGGGGAAATTTATGGTAAAATACGGTTTTCTGTTAGAAATAAGTTTTAAATTACTATCAATTGCAAACTAAGGTCCCAAAGACGTTTTATTATGAGGTACCTGCCGTTGCCAAATATACTACTTTTTCACCTTGAATGATTGTTTAAGTTGCGTGAGAAATTTTGATATATATCACGCTAAAATACGATCTAGAATCTCCGAATTCAAACTGATCTCCCGTTGTAATTTAATAGCCAAAAGAAACGAGATCGATGAGAAAATTATTACATTTTGATTAATATTCGTTATTACAAATCAAGTCGGCTTCAAACTTTGGCTTCGGCCTTCTTTGGACGTCCACGTCCCTTCTTTCCCTTGGCTGGACTGGCGGCAGCCGGCTTGGCCTTGGGCGATTTGGGTTGTTCGACTTCAGAAGCAGCTTCCACTGACTTCTTTGGACGACCACGTGACTTTCCAGTCGCTGAAGGCTTGGTCACGCCTTTAGGCTTGGCAGCGGCGTTAGGGTTTTTCTTTGGCCTGCCACGACCACGTTTAGCTGATGGAGAGGACATTTTTGGACTGAAAATATAGATAATGTGGGGATAGGTAATTGAAGGCATTGGTTTAGGTAACAAAATAGATAGTGCTTTATATTACTATTCTTGGGTAAAAAATATGTACTATAAAGTGGAAAAAACCTATTTTTACCGCGGAAAACGGTTAAAACTCTTTGCGCTGACCTTGTTTATTTACTTTTTGAAAAATAAAAAATTCTGCCAATTTGAGAAAACATTTTTCAAAAAAATTTGTCTAACAATACTAGAAATCTTAAGTATTGTGTAACTTAACATTAAATTTTGTTCTTAATGAAAAAAGATTGAAAATAAACTTGAAAAATCAATAAAAATAAAACAATAGCAATATTTTTAAAACCACAAGTTAATTTAAAAAAGTTAATTGAAAACAAAATATTTTTGAAAATTTTTGACTAGATCTAGATGCTAAACCTGCAGAGTGGACATGCGAATAGAATAAAACAAAGAAAGGTCCATTTGCGAGCAGAAATAGCGCCAAAATAATGTTTTCCAAGAGAATCGCGGCTTCGGAAACAAGCCGAAAAGCAAACTGCGCCCTGGTGTTTGCAAACGGCGACATTTTATACGAAAGGTCTGAATTGGATTGCGCAGTAGACTATAGTAATCAGAAATGTCAAAGAAAGTTTTTTTTAGGTTTATTATATCGATCTATCTTAAGTTTATTATACCGGGGTAAAGGTCTGATGTGGGGATAGTGATAAGAGAAAAAGCTTCCAAAAGCAGAAGTAACAACCTGTTCTTGGAAGCATTTTTTCGATATTGGCAAGGCATGACATTCGCAGGGGCGATCAAATCCAAAATAGGCTGCTTGCTTTACTTCCAAAAGTTATGTGATGACCAAACGTGTCTGTGACACTGTTTAGCGCACTGTCTACCTGTTTTTTCCTACAGTCTATACATTATAGTAAAAAAGGTTAGGTCTTGATCCGTGGCTATAAGTGTGAGTCATCGCTTAATTTACAATCGGCCTCTTAATGTCCTACAGTCTGTTATATGGGTATCTCAGCGATAGTAGGGTGTTGATCCGAGGCCGAAGACGCTATGGCATTGTTTCTCGTATGAGCGACCACTTATTGTTACAGTCCCTAACCGTTCCTAAAGCCCATACTTCAGGACCCAGTGAAGGACTGACGCGCGCCTTAGATGAAAATTGGGTAATTTACACATTTCAAATTGATTTAGGCTTATGATACTACTTTTGATTACTAGCCTAACAAGTTTTAAAATATATATTTTAGCAATAATTTAGCATTAACAGTTAGTTCAATAATCCAATGCTTCTAATCGACTTCCGTTGTAAGTTTATTCACAAAAACGAGATCGGAGATGTACAAAATGAGAAGGTAAGTTACATTTATACATCGATAAAGTCATCAATTAAAAAGTAATTTATCCACGACAATATAGGCAACACCATCAAGATGTTTTCCTTCAATAAAAACGTAAAACTGGATGTTATCTATGACAAAAAGGTAACATTAGATGTTGTTCTTAAAGAAAAAGGTCGCATTGGATGTTATCCATTGAAAAGGTACCATTAAATGTAATTAATTTGGAGTTATTCTTATCTCATCTCCAAGTTATTCCTCAGTCTCTTCTCCACTGGACTGTTCGGCCTTCTTGGGACTGCCACGAGCCTTGGCTGGAGCGGCGGTCTTGGCTGGGGCTTTCTCCTCACCATTGACAACATCGCCAGCGGCCTTACGTGGACGGCCACGAGTTCTTGTGGATGAAGATGAGGGCTTGGTGACTCCCTTTGGCTTTGGTGGAGCGTTAGGGTCCTTCTTTGGTCTTCCACGACCACGCTTAGCTGGGGCTGAGGACATTATTTAGCTGAAAATAGTGGTTTAAGTAACAAAAAGCATGATTTTAGGTAATAAGGCAACAGTTTCTCGCATTGGATGAGAAAGTTTAAGCATAAACTACAATATATCGGGTATAAAAGATTATTTTAGGTAATAAAAAGACATTTTTAGATAAAAACGTAATGTTGGTTATATAAACGCAAATTTTAGATAAAAATTCAATATTTTAAGCAACAAAACATGTTTTAAAAGTCAATAATAATACAGTAATCGAATTTTGGCTCTATTCGGTCAAAAAGTTTGTGGAATGACTGCGCCGTGCAATAATTGTTTCGCACAGTGCAGAAACTTTCTGACCAAGTAAAAACCGAATTTAACCACGGAAAAACAGTTAAAACTCGCTTCTCTGACCTTGTTTATTTACTTTGAACAATTTCACAAAAAATAAAAGACCGATTTTAAAAATATTCGCTTAAAACCCTGAGGAAAAATGAAAAAAAAATCGAAAAACTCGAATTAAAACCGAAAACACTGACATTTTATGTTATACGCCACAAATAAACATGAACAAACTTGAAAGAAATCAATAACAACACCAAAACAACATCCCCCTCTTCAGCATGTTGTTTATAAAAACCAAAAAAAACGATTTCGAAAATTTGAAAAAAAAATCGAAATTTGAAAGATATACCTAAAATAACGTTCAATGCCAAAAAATAAAATCTAGATGTAAAATAAAGCAAAAAGCGCCCATTCTATGGGGCTGAAGTAACGCCATAATAACATTTTTCGGGAGAGTCACTGCCAGTTCGGAAAATAACGCTTGAGAGGCAGCTGCGGCCAGGCCGTGCGAACCGCGGGTGACATTTTATACGAAGAAGATTGAAATAAAAATAAAATCGGAAAAAGGATAATTTCTAATAAAAATGATAAAATAGATGAAAAACTGATAAAATTCATGTTTTTTAAAAATTTTAATTTTAAAAATTATTTTTTATATTTTTTTATGAAGTATGGGTATTTTTGTAAATATTTTGATTTTGCTGTATACGACGACTGTTTTTACAGGAATATTGTGTGATGATGGCTATATAAATTCAAATTACAAGTACAATGATACTAATGTAAGTTCAGTTATTTTATTTTGTCGTTTTTACATTGAATTCGGGGGTGTTTCAAAAGTTTTGGGCGGTCTGCACGATGCAGTTTGAAAAATTAATAAGTCATTTTGTAGTAGTCTAATTATTGTAAAAATTGTCATAAATGTAGTTAAAAGATGTATTAGTATGTTGATAAAGTTTTATATTTCTACTTTTAGGTATTGGCGAGAAATTTGAGTTTAAAAAAATTAGTTTTGATTTTGCACGGTGCAGTTCAAAAACCGTTGATTTTTTGATTTCTTTGAGTTATCGATGTCATATTTTTTAAATTTTTGATTTTTAACTTAATCTTTACTGAAATTTTAGATATCAACTTTACCCTACCCTTACTACGCTCCTTTTGACAGTTCAGCCAACTTTGTCAATGTTATTGGTGCTCTACCTTCAAGTACTGCCAATTTTATTCAGAATAACTTTGCCAAAGCTTATCATGACGAGAAATGCAAGACAAACAAGTATAATATAGAGACGATTTATTTTAATCCGGGAGATACGGTGTTACTCAAATGTGTCGTATGTACTGTTGATCAGGTAAACATTTGTCTTATTCATCATCTTACATTGCTTTTATCTCGTATTTTTTGAACATTTTTATAGACTTTTGAGATTATGGTAAGCTGTCTTTTTAGCTGTACAACGGAGAGATGAAGTATTGGAAGGTGTTGAGGAAAAGGGTCTACAATGCTATCTATCAGCCGAGAGAGGTTTTAGACGAGGACTGGACTATTTTGGACGAATGTAAGTTAAGACTTTTACAAAATGTAATGCTAAAACGCACTTTCATTGGGCTGCCAACTTAAAGTCAAATGTTTTTGCTATTTTTGGACTTCATAATATATATTTCTACTTTTTGACCTCAAAACAGTCTTTTTTTGTTAAGTTTTAGTACTTTTTTACCTAAAAAGTAATGTTTCTACATAATTTTTGACCTTAAAACGATAATAATAATTGACAGAAGTATGTTTTAGCTACAATGAATGAGTTTTTGGGTAATCCAGGTCGATTACAATATCCAAAACATAAAAAAGAGAATGATGACGATAATGATGTTAATCGGACTCAAGTCAAAATGCCATGGGTTTATCAAAACGATGGTAAATTGTATATAGTAAATGTGAGTGTGGTTTACTTTACTCCTACTTTATCTTCTTTACCGGGTTTAATATTGGGCTTTTCAAATAATTATGTGCCTTCTTTCAAAGCAAGTTTGTGGGTTAGGGAGCATAAAATTACTTGAACGACCTAATAGTAATAATTGGTATTTTAAAACTACATCTGATGCAAAGAGAATGACGTGTATTAATACTATAGTTACTCAAAATTAATGAAATTTATTTTAAAATTGTGAAGATTGAAATTAATTTTAAGGCCAGAGTAGAGCAATATGGCTTATATGAATGTTCAGACTTTGATCACTTAAGAGTACACAAGTATGCTTACCTAGTAGTACCAAGAACTCCGTACATAGAGGTATCGCCTAATATATATGATAAAGAATGTGATAACGATGAAGACGACGATGATACGGCAATGATAAAAATGGACGGATTTGGAAAATGGAGAAGTTATCCAGCCTTATCTTTCAGCAAGTACAGTAATATTTGTGGCGGGAAGATTTGTGGGGATACTGTAAGTTCTTTATGGTTACGGTAAGGTAAAGAAGATTAGGGTTGAGTAAGGTAGGGGAGGTTGTGGTAGGGTAAAGTAGGGTAGGTTAGTTTAGGGTATGCTACGATAGGGTATGTTAGAGCATCGTAGGGTAGGGTAAAGATAGCCAGGTAAGATAAGATAAAGAAAATGTAAGGTGGAGTAACATATACTGTCTAGCAATGCTATAATGTTATTGTTTCAGCTATTCGACCAGTTTTCCAACTTCTCAGTACCAATAGTACCAGGCGACGTTGATGTGACGATGCTGAAGAAGAAGTTGAATCTAGAAGTTTACGTAAAATGGTCAGAGTGGAGTAACTGTACCAATGGGTACCAGTTTCGTAAAGGCCAATGTTACATGCGCAAGATTACTGATAAGAAGTTTGATTTTGAAAAGGATGGTAGCTTTGGAGTGATACAATGGATATATCCTATACATTTACTATTGGAGAACATACCGAGGTTCAGGAGAGATGGTGTGTTGCTTTATAGGTAAGGTTAGGGACGTGTATATGGGGTAATATATGAGTATTGACATGTATATGAGGTTAGAATATATACGATAATAGATACATAGGGCTTAAAACAGACAAGATAGAAGGCTATGAAAGAGATAGTGAGGGAAGGGAAGGGCTTGGCAAAGTCAACATATAAGGGGTAGATAAAGCTCGGGAGGGGGAAAACTGTACCTGACCACAAAATTTACTCATATCTATGTTACATTAACGAAAGTATCATTTCAGCGCCATTTTGACTGACCTACTACTATCATCCCAGTCAGTACCATCCCATTGCACCAAGATACCAACTCAACAGTTACACGAGTTCAAGGCAGCTATACTCGACAACATGTTTCGTGCTGTAAATGGTACAGTAGCTGGATCCAATGAGTACAAGTTGACTCCATGTGCTAGGAAAATAGTCAAAGATGACTATACTACAATAATTGGACATGGTGCTATTCAGAAAATGGCTTGTACATAAAGTTTTATTTTAGGCTTGTATTTAAAGGTTACTGTAGTTTCGATGGATTACTGTAACTTTTGACTTTAATAAATGATTTTAATGTATTGTTCTTATCATGATATTATTCAAGATGTGGACTATAAAAAGAGTCTTCTAATAAGTTGTTCAAATAATTTTGTGCTCCCTCCTTTTCTTTCTCAATTCCGTAAATTAGCTTGAGAGGGGGCGCAGAATTATTTAAACAACCTAATATTTAAAAAATTATAATAATTTTGTACTTACTATGATATTTATTTGTTAATTCTGATTTATATTACTCTGCAAACGTATTGTAACCGTTTCCTTCAGCCCACGTAATAATTAGTAAACAATTTGTGTTACAAAAATGAAAAGTATTTGTTCAAAGACATTATTTAGATCCCAAAAGCAATAGACTTTGGTTCGAAACGTTGTAAACACAAGTTTCAGATGGTTTTTCCCTTATCTAGGTCATTTTAAAACAACTTTTTGATGGTTTATTGGGTACAGTAGGTTTTTGGGTACAGCAAGGTTTTAGATTTTTGTGTACTGTAAGGTCTTTATGGTGAGTAATGTAACTTAAAATTAGTACATATACTTTTAAGTCTTTGTATTAGTTGGTTATGTCTATAGCACATAAGACCGGCCCATACCTGTCTTACGGAGATCTTACGAGGCCCAGACCGGTCTTACGATAGAGCGGGGTCGGCTTTGATCTAAAGTTGAAAGTGGCTTAATATTAAGCTCCGACCTGGGGCGGGCTTAAAAACCGGGGCTGGCTCAGCACGGGCATACGTCGAGCAGGGCCGGCTTTGATCTAAAGTTGCAGTGGGCCAGGCTCGAAAAGTGGGTTCGGCTCTAGAGCTGGACTTGAAAAATAGGCGCGGGTCAAAACGTTGGACCTCAGGCCTGAACCGGGATTTAAAATTGAACACGGGCCTAAGCTTCTAGTTCCGGGCTTGAAAAGCAGGCAGGAGCCAAATCTAAAATGAAAGGTGAAAATGAGTGATGGCTCATAACAACAACAATCAATCATGCATGTTTTATAAATTTGCATGTCAGTGGTTCATAAATAATTGCTTTCAATTTAAAATGGACATATTCGAAATGGAAAACAAAAAAACGGTCCTCTTTTCTCCCGTCTCAAATTACGGAATTCGTGACATCCTCAGCCATTTACAGCACACAAGTCATCAACATACTCGCTTTTTGTTTCGGCCATTATGTTCAACATGTTGGGCTTTGTCTGGAATCAGGAATAGAGCCTGGATGAACTGTTCTTTTTTGATTTGGGGATTAATCTTGTGTATTACTGTAGGTATGGAGGTGATGGTTTGGGTAGAGTGGGTACATCCTGGGTATATACAGATTCATACCTTGTTTGAGTTAAAATTCTCGGTTTTTCGGTGAAGTAATGTACTTACAAAGCTTATATTTGGCGCTAAAATTAGTCATACTATGTACAATAAATATACAAAGCTTTAGCAAAAAATCTGCACTTTTAAAATTAAAATTTCAAATTTGGCGCCAACTTTTTAGTGCTATAAAACAATAAATATGGCTTTGATTTGGCTAAAACTTTAGTTTCGGGTCAGTCCTCTTTAACAAAATTCTGAACTTCCGAATTTTTTGCATTTTTAAAATTAGAATTTGGCGCCAATTTTTCAATTTTTTCAATTATTGTTATTATAAACTTTATAGTATCTTGGCACTAAAAACTGACGGTACTGTACAGACGGTGAACTGATAGATTCTTTAAGCTATCAAAACCTGATTTTTAAGCTGTAAACTTATTACGTATGATGAACATGTTGTAAAATACGATCTAATAAACCTTGTAAACAATATATTCCATCAACGAAAGGTCATTTCACGGCCTATGGCCTTGAAAACGACTATGTAGGCCTTTACTACAAAGTGAGTTTTTAAGATATAATTATTGCTATTGGGTTGTTCAAATAATTCTGTGCTCCTTAGCTTCGAAAATTTGTTTTGTTCAAATAAATCTGGGCTCCTAAACTCGTAAGGTTTTCTCTTAGAGAGGCACTGAATAATTTGAACAACCTAATATAAGATTTTAAAATGGCAGTTTTACTAGGATGGCATTTAGGTAAGCGCCATTCTTTTTGCAGCAAATTTTAATATTTAAATTGTAAAAAATAGTTTTTTATGTCCGGAGGGTCGAATTCCATAGGTTTTAGTAAAATAATAAAATACATACTCTCCAGTCGCCTACATTTTAATCAAGCCTCGAAAGACTCGCTTCAGACATTGCGAAGGTCCGTCTGAATCCTCTTGGGTACACTTTTCGAATTTTTTATTGAATATAACGTTGATAAATTGAATTACGCCAAAAAACATACACGGGATTACTTCTTCCTGAATTCTTCAACGTTTTTAAATCGTTGCACTTGGTATTTGGCAGTAATTTGGGTATATATGGGTAGTTAAAGGTGATGTAGGTATCGCTTGGTAATCGATGTTAATATACGGCTTATTGAGGTTGGCATGTGAGGATAACATATATAGTTTATGATTTTTTTAGAAAATGAAGATTTTTAAAGTTTATCCTAGTCCTAGCCCAGAGTTCTAGCCCATAGCCCGAGCCTAGAGTCCTAGCCGAGAGTCCTAGCTCAGAGCCCTAGCCCAGAGCCCTAGCCCAAAGCCTTAGCTCAGAGTCCTAGCCCAGAGCCTCAGCCTAGAGCCTCAGCCCAGAGTCCTAGCCCAGAGCCTCAGCCCACAGCCTCAGCCCAGAGCCTCAGCCCAGAGCCCTAGCCTAAAGCCTTAATCAAGGGTTGTAGTCCAGAGCCCTAGCCATAACGCTACTCATAAAAGTATCCTTACTCTATCAGTTATGCTACTGCATAGTTTACTGCAGTAGCATAACTGATAAGTAACGTTTTGTAATAAATATTTACTCATTGGCTTTGTGATTTGTGTGCGGCCATTTCGAGCGCCGAATCGATCGTGTAAGGGACCTCTGACTGACTGTTGCCTTGCTTTGTCAGGTGTGAGGAAAGCGCGCAGCTGTCTATCGTTGTGCCCATTTTTGTTTTTTCGAAAAAAAATTCTTCGAATTCCAAAAGATTTCATTTTTGGGGTTTTGCTTTTATTAATTTTACGAAATACTACGTTATGATATCAAGCTTTTTCAAACTTTTAACATTTTACGATTGGTAGCTGAATTGTTGATTACCTAATATAGTACATATAGAGTATAGGTGTGCAGTAGACTCTGATTCAAGAATTCTTTTGGCATTTTGTGTTGATTATGACAGTTTTCTTGTAAAGATTAGCAATATAATAGGTTTTACTGTAACTTTTTGACCTCATAGTTGCAAACTGTGTTACCATAGGTAAGATGGGTAAGATATCGACATTACAAATCATAACTTTATTTTGTGTTTTAGGTATGTTTTCTGACTATCAAAATCTAATGTTTGTTTTAATACTTTGCACTTATAATCACTGGAACAACAATATTAACTTATATTTTTTGTTTATTCTTTAGTCAATCATTTTACTTTTTTCTGAGCTATAACGCATGTCTGGGCGTTAGGTACACTTTTTGACAATTTCTTTGTTGAGTTCTTTTTAAGGATCAAAAATTGTCTAGAATTGCTAACTTTAAGACGTCAAAAAAGTTTTGTCGTTTTTTCTCATAGAAGTCAATGTAAATTGACGACAAGACTTTTTTGACTTGATAATATTATTTTTGACTTTCTACTACCATATAAGTATTTTATAAATTTATATTATTGTATGTGTACCGGAAAACCCTAAAAATTCAGGGAAATAACAGGATCAGCGTAAATAACACTTTATTATTTACCATACCTTGATACCTTATCTGGAATGCTGATGATATTTACGTTCATGGAGATTGTTTTTTGGAGCGGACCGTGTGTTATTTGTTCAGACACAAAAGAATCAACTATTTAGGCCACGTTCTATATCTCTATTTTCATTTCGAATAGTTAAAACTGTTTGTTTCCCGAGGGTTTAGAGCATTTTTATGGGATGGTTTGATACACATATCAGAATATGTTGTCAAAAAGAGCTTGGGTTTGCTTACTATCATGATATTAAGATGCCAGGAAAACTCTTGTCGTTTTTGGAAGTTTTAAGCTTTGTCAAAATGCGACAAGACTTTTTTCATCTTTTATTATTATGGGTAGGGTATAGGGCAAGGCAAGGCAAGGCAAGGCAAGGCAAGGCAAGGCAAGGCAAGGCAAGGCAAGGCAAGGCAAGGCAAGGCAAGGCAAGGCAAGGCAAGGCAAGGCAAGGCAAGGCAAGGCAAGGCAAGGCAAGGCAAGGCAAGGCAAGGCAAGGCAAGGCAAGGCAAGGCAAGGCAAGGCAAGGCAAGGCAAGGCAAGGCAAGGCAAGGCAAGGCAAGGCAAGGCAAGGCAAGGCAAGGCAAGGCAAGGCAAGGCAAGGCAAGGCAAGGCAAGGCAAGGCAAGGCAAGGCAAGGCAAGGCAAGGCAAGGCAAGGCAAGGCAAGGCAAGGCAAGGCAAGGCAAGGCAAGGCAAGGCAAGGCAAGGCAAGGCAAGGCAAGGCAAGGCAAGGCAAGGCAAGGCAAGGCAAGGCAAGGCAAGGCAAGGCAAGGCAAGGTAAAGCATGGCAGTTAAAAGGCCTTGATCACCCAAAAGTCAATAGTCATAACGTAATTTCCCAAAACAAAAGCAGCAATGTAATTCGTTACCATACTCATAACGTTGTTATCAGGATGTGTGACTTTTGGCTTGTCATCTTTTCGAATTTTCCTTTTTCCCTCCGGATCCCCCCCCGGCCCCAATTTAATGAATTTCCAATGGACAAAGCGATACTCGAAAAGGCTGTTTCAGCTGTTTCGATAATGACATAAACCCTTTTCCACAAACCTTTTTCGAATTTCAGATGGCGGCGGCGTTTATTATATGGGTACGGGCGGATGGGGTTGTACTAGGTTTCAACGTTTATGTTAGAGTTAACTTTACGAGTTTACGAAAGGTTTTAGGTT